ATAAATATTTAAATAAAGTTATATAGCCTTAAGAATAAACGGATAGTTTAAATATTAATTAAATCTTTAAATTTTTAATTAATAATAGCCTTTATTTTTTTAAAGTTTATTTAAATACCTTATTTAACCTTTAAAATTATACTTAAATAATTTATAAAGGTTATATTAAAGCGGGATTTTTTTATATTTCCTTAAAGTTTAATATTATAAAGGTAATATATTACTTCCTTATACTATTTTTAATATTCTTTTTTATTATTTATAAATATTAAAACGTTATTAATATAAGTATTAATAAAAAGGTTAAATAATTTATATAGTTAAAAGTTAATAAAGTTTTACTATTAAGCGGAGCTAATTTTTAATTTAAAGGGTAGGACTAACTATTAAAATACTTCTTATTAGGTTTAGAATATTATTAAATATTAAAATTTTAAAGCTATTTTTAATTTATAAAAAGCTTTAATAATATTAAGCTTAATATAACGTTTAACCCTTTAACTATTATATATAATACCGTTTAAATTTAATATTAAAATAATATAATCTTTTAAATATTTATTTTTCTATTAATAATTAATATAAAATTATCTTTTAATTAAATTTAATTTAAAGGTAAAAAAGATAAGGGAAGCATTTACTTTTATATAAGGTTTAATAAAGCTATAAGTTAATAATTTATCTATTATTTCTTTTTTTAATAATAGGTATTAAATTAGAATTTAATATTAAAGGAAGTTATTTAAAAGGTTATTAATAATAGTTTTAAGCATTATATTATATTCTAATTATAATAAGGGTAATTTATTAACTTTTACTTTTTAAAAAAATCCTTTTAAATAAGCTAACTTTTTAAAAATTAAATAATAGATTAGCTTAATATATTTAAGGTCTTTATTTTATAAAAAGGGAATATACTTATTATTAAAGGTTTTTTAAGTTTTTTTTAATATTATTATAACTACCTTTAAAGCTACTTTAATAAATTTAATAAGTATTAATTTATTTAAAAGCACCCTTTTCTTTTATTATTTCTATTTAAGGTTTAATTTAATCTTTTTAATAAGTTATTAAATAATCCTTTTATTTTAAAATTGTTTTATTTTTAAACTCTTAAATTAAATATTCTTTTAAGGGTATATAATTAATTACTTTAATATAATATATTTCTTTTTTAAAGTAACATCCTTTTAGTTAATATCCTATTAAATAATAAGGTTAATTTATTAATCATTAAAAAACTTTTATATAATTTCAATTATAAATAAGAATTAAATAAAGGGAAGTAAATTTTTTAATTAATATAATATTTAATAGGTATAATTTAAAGTAACCTTATTTTTAATTAACTACTTTAAACTAATTATAACGTTATATTTAATATTAATAATTTAAAAAGTTTAATCCTTAAACCTTTATTTATTTACTTTTAAAGTAATAATAAAGTATTAATTAACTATATTAATAAATTATTCTTAATAATTATTTAATTATTATAATTATTTTAAGGTAATTAACTTAACTTTTAATTAATGGTTAATATAGTAAATTAATTTATAATTAATTATTAAATATATTTAAACTTTAATATTATATAATATAATAGCTTTTATTTTAAAATTATTTATTTATATTTAAATGGAGTATATAAATTAAATAATATTTTAACTACTTTTTATATAGGTTAAAAATAATTTATAAATTATTAAAGAATCTTTTAATAATTTAACTAGTTTTTTAATTTAAATTTAATAAAAAAAGAATTAATAAACTTTTTTTTATTTTTTTTATTTTATATTTAAATTATATTTTTACTTTTTTTAAAGTAGTTTATAATATAATATTTTATTTTACTATATTTAAAATAGGTATTATTTTTTTAATAAGTTTTTTTCTCTTCCTTTAAAAGCTTTATTCTTTTAAGCTTTATTATAATATTCCCCTTATTTATATTTTTCTTATTATTAAAATTATAATTAACGGAGCTAATAGCTTATTTTTTCTTTTAATAATTATAATAATAATTATAATTATATATTATCTTTATTACTTTATTATAAAAGCGTTTATATAGTATTAATAGGTTAATATTAACCTTAAATACCTTAATTCCAAAATTAAGGTTAATATATTTCTATAAGAACTAAAACTATTTAAACTTAAATAACTTTAACTTTAATGCTAAATTATTAAATTAAAAAATAAATTAATAAATATTAAAGCTTAACTTAAAGTAAAATTTATTTAAGGCGTTTTATATTTAAATAGCTTAATTTAAATTATAGTAAGTAGTTTTTAATGTTTATACTATTTTAATTAAACTATTATATAGTTAAATAATAAAATAAAAATAAATTTTAACTGCTTTTTTAATATCCTTTTTTAAAAGAAATATAATATAATATATTTAACTCTTTTTAATATAATATATTATTACATTTTCTTTAAGTTTATTAGCTAGCTTTTCTAATTAATTATTAAATCAGTCTTTATTTTTAAAGAAGATATTTAAATTAACTTTATAAATTTTAACTTTTTTTATATATTTTAAGTTTAAGCTTATAAGGTTACCTATTAAGCTAATTATTTTAAAGATAATTTATATAATTATATTAATTAACTTAAAGTTAATTTTATTAAAGGCACTTTTAATTATACTTTTTTATAATATTAAAGTTAAACTACCTCTTTTTATTTAAGCTTAAAAAGTAATAATTTATTTTTATAGCTATTAAATTAAAGTAGTTTAATTAATAACATTTATTTTATTTCTTAATTAAGGTAATTTTATTAATCCATTATTTAAATTAAGGTTTAATAGTAAAAGTATTATATTTTCCGGTTTAAAGTTTAAAAAATCCTAAAAGCTATTTTTAGATTTAATCTTAATTTCTTTTTCCTTAATAAAAAGGATAAGGTTTTAAATTAATTATTTATTAGCTATAGGAACGTTAAATATAATATATAATAATAATTGTTAAAATTATTTTAAATTATTTATTTTAATTAAGGTCTTTTTAGTTTTAAAGGGTATAGGGTTTAATTCTATTAGTTAAATCTATTATAAGGTTACATTTATTTATTATTAAATGCAGGATGTAATAAAAGAGGGGGAAGGGTTTAATTTATAAATTATAAATTATAACAATTAAATATAAATAATATATTTATATAATATTTATTAATAAAAGGGAAAAGCTTAAAATAATATTATAATTAAGGTTTAAGGTATAGCTATATTAATATTATAAATAAAGATTTTAAGTTAAAGAAGAAAGAAAGGAAAAAGAAAATTAAAATATATATATATATATATAGGAATATATATAAGGTAATAACTATTATACATTATATAACTTTATTAATATATATTTTATATATTTTTATAATATCCCTTTATAATATATATAATATTTTAATATAATATATATTTAATATATTTATTATAAATATTATTACTTTTACTTTAATTATTTAATTTAAATATAAGAAATATATATTAATTAATTTATTTTATTTTAAAATGTTAAAAATAATTCTTTTTATAATTATTATAAACTTTTACCTTTTACTTTTTTATTTTTTTATTAACTTTAACTTTAATTTTTTACTTTAATTATATATTTAAACTTTTTATAAAGTTTATTATTAAAGTAACTTTAAAACTATTTATATTATTATTAATTATAATATTTAAAAAGTTTTATAACTTATAAAAAGATTAATAAAGTAAGCTTTAAACTATAAAGTATAATTTATCTCTTTAAAATTAAAAATTAATTAAAATAAATATTATTAATATAGTTTTAAGCTTTAATTATATAATTTATTATTAATTAAAGTTATACCTTATATTAATAATACTTTTATAATTATTATAATAATTTATTATTATATATTAAAAATAATTAATATAATATTAATTATAATATAATTAATAAAAGCTATAATAGGGTTAATAGAATTTAAAAATATAGGTTTTATTAAATATAAAAATTAACCTTAAAGGGTTAAAGGATAAGTTAATTAAAATTACTTAATTAACCTTAATAATAAGGTAAAATTAAAAGTAATTTATAAGTTATCTTTATTAATATTTTAAGGGTAAGCATTTTTAATAATAAATTTAAAGTGTTTAAATAAATAATAAATATAAATAAAAGTAAGTATTATAAGTATTATAATAATAGGAGTAAAATTAATATAAAAAAGATTAACGCATCTCCCACTTAACCTGGCCACCCAATTGAGCTGGCCACCCCCTTAACCTATATAAAAGTCCAATGTTTCAATCTGTAATAACTTAACCAATATTGGGCCTACAATAAAATAATTAATACCATTAGATCCGTTATTTAATAAGGAATCCAGCGGTATTTTTTACTAATTTTTATAAAATTTATTAAGCAAGATATTAAGCAATACGCTAAAAGGGCGCTAGGCAAGGATCATTTTAGCGCTTACTTTAGCGTATTGCTTAATAACTCCGCGAATATAAGTCGTAAGAATTAATAAAGGGTACCGTTAAATAGCTCTCTTTATTACGAATCTAATGGTATATTTTATTATTCTATACGACCAATATTCGTAAAGTTATTAAATTATCACGTGATTAGCGCACCGACGTTTTTTGTATGGGCTAGGGGGGTGGCCAGCTCAATTGGGTGGCCAGGTCAAGTGGGAGATGCGTTAGGTTAAATTAAAGTTCTATTTATATTAAGTTAAAAAAAGCAATTATTATATTTAAAAGGGGGTTAAGATAACTTTGGTTTGGTTAGATTTAGATTAACCCAATATGGTAGTTGCTCCACTTATATATATGGTGGCGTTATTAGCGTTGTTCGAGTTTTTCGAGTGTATGCGGTACTCATATTACGTAATCCAGTGCTTGTGGATATAAACCCACCTAACCCCACCTGCCGGAATTGGTAGATGCACCTAATTTACGCGAGGTACGTAGGTACCTGGTAACCCGCATCATGTTTACAAACAAGCCCAATCTAACGCGATCACCAACCAGAGACGAGAACGGGAGTTGACACACAACCAAAGTCGTTTTGCCTACAGCCTGCTAGATATGCACACAACTGTTAACCTCGCCATCATATATGTCCCTGCTGTATACTTGATTCGACTTCTGGCGTGCTCCAACATATGTCGTTGCGCCTAATAATCATAATGCGACGCGCTTCTCTCCAACTCTAAAAGTTGACACTAGAATCGCAACCGCCTCCCCGAGTTCACACTCCCCCATTCTAGAACATTGCCAGTATGTCTGGCCGCTCCGATGCGACTATGCCGTCGACACGGCGACCGCGCAAGTCGACAGGTCATTCACCTGTTCGCAAGAGGATGGACAAAGAAAACATCACAACGGACCTGGCGAGCTCTCTGGCTGGTAATGCTGGCCGAAAGAAGTCGCGTAGCAAAAGCATTGGACCTGGAGGCCTTGATGTCCTGAAGTCAGGGTCTGGCAATAGACGCGTGGTATGTGACCGGGAAACAATATCTTTGCTACCAGGCCTGTACTAATTATCGTTCATCTAGTCCTTGGCCGCACCCTCCAGACCCCCGCCTAGATCAATCCTCAAACCTACCATGCCCCAACTACCAGAAATTCCGCCACACAAATCAAAGGTCCCTTCTCGAAAGTCCCTGCCCTCGGGCTCTGTTCAAGGTCTCGAGAAGCTTTCCAATCCTTTCCAGAATGACGACTCGTCTTCGTCAGGTACAAAGGTCGCGTTGCGCACCGAAGAAGAGCAACAGGCCGCTGCTAAGGAGCGCGAAGAACGAGAGAGAGCCCAGCTCGAAAAGGAGATTAAGGATCGACGCGAGGCGCGGCGGAAGTCTCTTGCTAACCGACGTGTATCTTTTGCTGCCGAGGCTACTCTTCATACTTTTCATGACATCGAGTACATGCAGGATTCCACCACTTCGACCGACTCTACAAGGACAGCTACGTCTATGGCCGGACCGTCTAATTCGGGTGAAGCGGCCAAGGACCCGCCGTCTACGCCCCCAGAAACGACTGAGGACTTTACCCCGGATTTCCCAGATGATCAACGGAAGTTGCATCAAAAGAATCAACGCAGAAGCTCCGGGATGTCTATAGTCGACTACAATAACAACCGGGATGATCTAACGGCAGCTTCTAGTATTTATACTTCTAGTATCTATAGCTCAGATTCTGAAGCGACCGAAGGCGTCACTGAGGTGCACGAAGAAATCGGATCAGATTCCGGTAGTGACTCGGACGTCGATGGAGTAACTATGGAACTTGAAGCTGATGAAATAACTGGCACATCAGTAGCATCTGCAATGTCGGCTCGGTCAGTTTTCATGGATGGAGATGACGACAGTCTTGATGATGCGCTTAGACTCGCTACACGGAGGGCGGAGACGCAGAATATCGATGACGAAGAGGAGGTTATCCCATCTTTCGGGTGGGTTAAGAAGCCCGGACAACGGCCAGTAGGTCCGTCCCACGAGCAAGACAATCCGCGGAATGCGTCACGTGACGATGATGAAAGTACGGCACCCATGGATATGGAAATCACAAGGGCGGTGGGCGGTATTATATCATCTGGGGATGATGATCTCCCAGAAGAAGAAATGTCTATGGAGGTCACCCGAGCCTTTGGTGGCATACTTCCACCGCGGAGCGCAGCCAAAATAGAGCATGCAGGCGTCAAAGAAGATAAGATTGGCGGTAGCTTTGCAGATACCATGGAGATGGAACTTAATACTGCAATTGGGGGCGTAAGAAATGGTCTGCAGACTACGGATCAGCCTGACGAAGACGAAGACGAAGATCTATCAATGGAACTTACAACAGTGATTGGTGGTGTTGTGTTAGCTGCCAACTCAAATCTCGCGAAACGAAGGGTATCGCTTGCTCGCCGTCGCACATTGGCGAGAGATGATGAAACGACCATGGATATGACTGTCGGGTTAGGCCGCATCATATCAGCCGATGAGGAAGAAGGAATGGATGTTACCATGGGTATGGATATGACCACTGCAGTCGGGAGAATCATTCAGGAATCTTCTCCGGCAAGAAGTCAGGCTGAAGCTAGGCAGATCATGGAACAAGAAGTCAATGTACCAGACGGAGATGACGTCACGGAGCCGCCTTCAAAGGGCGTTTCACTCAGTATGAATGCTGCTAGAGATAACTTAGAAGCTGAGAGTCCGGGTCTTCTTCCATTCAGGGGCAAAGGAGTCCGCCGCAGTATTGATCAACGGGCTTCAGACATCACCAGGGAGAAGTCTCCTAAACGCAATGAGTTCGCTTTCAAGGCTACAAGTATAGGCGCACCGGAATCGCCTAGCACTCCTCAGTTCTCAAGCCCGGTTCAAACGCCAACATCAGTGCTGTCACAGAGACGATCTCTTTCCCCCGGAAAAACAGCACCACACCTGGTCAATACGACACCAAAGTCAGCTACAAGACACGCTTTTAGGTCATCAGTCTTCCAGCAAAACTCTGCTACCGGTGCTACGACCCCTCAATTTATTCTCACCCCTCAGAAACGTCAGCTATCTGGGATCGGAGCCGACCGCTCTGGGCTGGGATCACCAAAAGTCACTGCTATCCTCGACCGGCGAGGTTCTATTGGCGATACTGCCGGTCCATTTGTGCATCGGGAAAACTTCCGAGCAGTTAGTTTTACATCGCCACAGGTTATGGAGAGTGAATTTGACTGGGAACGTCAACAAGAACAGGCCAAAGAGAGCAGTTACAACTCTCTTAATGAGGACGCTCAAGGAGATGACGATAACGGTACGGCGACCCTAAAGGATATGATATCAAGCATGACTCCCAAGAAGAACCCCCTGAAAGGCCGGAAGAGTTTGCACATTGGTAGCGCTAGTGGGCTTCTTGGAAAAAGACCTGCTGAACTTGACGAGGATGACGACGATTATGATCGAGATGGGGTTAAACGGCTTAAGAATCATCAAAGCAGTCCTGTCAAAAACATTCGATTACGCGCACCACCCTCGAAAGAGGAAACTACAGGTCGGGCTATTCGAGCTACTGAAACAACATCTGATTATGGGAATAGCAGTGTCGCTGCGCCTACGTTGGCACGCTCACCTAATAAGGGTCTCAATTTAGCATCCTCTCCTCAGCATAACGACCGTCTCCAAGGTGTGCCAGCTGACCAACCCACCAACACATTTACTTTCCACGAACTCGCCCCATTGCCAGCCATTGAAGGCGGGGATGATGACGGAGAGCATATCCATCTTCAAGACTTCTTAAACATGACTAGCATCCGTTTTATGGAATTGACTACTACGAAACGGAGACACACCCAAGCGCCTAGCATGCAGAAGGGCAACCTTCGAAGGGAAGAGGATCTTTCGCTGGAGCGGTGTATTATAGCTGGTGCCTGCACTGTCCCAATGCTCGAGCTTTACCAACACGTAAGTTTATCGTCTCATTACCGCACTTTACATGGTTACTAATCTTGGCAACTAGTCCTGTCGTGAGCTGAAGAAATACATATCAGAAGGCCGAAGAATTGTGCGAGAAATCGAGACTGAGACATTTGAGGAAAACCCACCCCTCTTCAAAGAGTATATCACAGCAACGCCCGAATTCAAGACCTTGATGGACAATCAGTTCAAAAACGTGAAAACTCACGCGCGTTTACTGAGCAAGGCTATGTGGTACGAGTGGCGAATGAAACTTCAGGATGGATTGAAGGAAGGCCTCGAGAAAATCTCCGAGGGTATGGCGGCGGATGAGGAGCTCTTGCAACAGCAACAGGCACTCTTACACGCCGTCCTTCCCCAGCTTATTCAGCAGTCTGAATCTTTAACGACGGAACATGAAGACCTTAAGGCTGTAGCACGAGAACTTGCGGACTGCGACCCGGAAGATCTGCAATCTGCGCGCGCAGAACTTACGAACGTTGATTCGGAGATTGAGATGAAACAGCGGAAAATAGAAGAATTACGAAGGCAGCTGGTCGAGACCGAATCAGATGTGGACAAGATGACGCGAAAAAAGCAAACCTACGCCGCTGATATTGGGGAGGCCGAAAAGGAACGGGAAGAATGCAGAGGATGGACATCTAATGAAGTTAACGCTCTCAAAGGTTAGTCGCACTGATTCTGCTATCGAGTCACCTTCTCTGGATTATCTCTAACTTGATAGTAGCCAAAGTTGATGAGCTGGAGAGACGGCATGGCTGGGCTATTACGGGTCTTGCCGGCAGTACCATCTCGATGACATACGAACGGGAGCTTGAGCTCGTGTTCGATGTATCAGCATTCTACGGGGACGACTCTTCGAATTCCCGGATTAGCCTTGAGTACAAGCCCGCCAACCGAGACGGCGACCCGGGTGCTGTATCGTTCGAGAAGGGATTCTTCATGCGATGCATTCAGAATCACCTGCGTGGGCTTGACCAATCACAGACCAAAGTCCCTACCATGCTGAGCCTGGTTAGTGCCGCGTGGAAGAAGGCCAATCGGGTTGCGGCAAATGTGCGGCTCTTGAACTGCACCTTTCCCACCAACATCACTCCAACCTCTGACTCGTCCATTGCAATTCGCTCGACGCTTCTGCTTGCTTCCTTGGAGACAAAAGTTGAGGTAATACTCGAATTGCATGGGCAGCACGGTCGGGATGGCCTGCAGGTATCAATTGTTCCCCAAGCGCGTGTTGTCTACGGCGAGAACTTCAAAACCGACAAGGTTGCCGAGTACCTTGCCACTCGAATTGGGACTTCGGTGGATGCTAATGGAGAACAAGGCGAAGCCGAGTCTTGGAGTGATGTTATCGTCGAATTACATGAGAGATTGTTGGCTCGGGGGCGGAAGTAAATCACGTTTTATTTGATATTGTTGTTGCTCCTCTAATGAACGATTATGAGTTACGAATTTCGTGGGACTTGATTAGCGACTGAGTATTCGGTAGTATCGGGTGTATTACTAGGCTGCATGTCTATGGATTGGCATATAGTATTTAATGAAGCTAATGTGCTGACGAGCTGAATATGATGTCTTTTTTGGTTGCTTGATATGACGAGTGTTGAGAATTGAACGTGACCCTTAGTGCTTTGCACATGTAGATTAACTGGATATCCGGGCCAATGGTATGGTCTGCCGTACAGAAAAGTAACCATGCGCGTGAATGCTGCCTTGCCTTGCCTGTTCTCGGCTGCGCAATCTAAGATATATTCTCGCCTGCTACATACCTTGAACGTTCAACCAACGGGAACCACCTCGCGTCAGTGGATTATGGATGCATTGACGTGTCTTCCACCACACCTATTACCATCGAAGTTAGTAGTCTATTTGCAATTCGAATTATTATCATGGAATGTAAGAATGTGGTATTCTAGTAGTGGTAAATGTTTGATAGCTACATAGGCCCCCTAGGTATAGTCAGTTACCTTGATCCGGACTTGTTGCAAGAGAGACACGATATCTGGAAACTATATATACGTGCCTAAGTTCTCTATCAACTATATGGACACTCAGAGCCTAAAATTTAGTCGAATGAATAGACTACAGTCCTATGAAAGACCTTTTATCATTGTTTATCGGTGTACTCGGAGCCATAGTGTAGTGGCCTTCAATGGGGGCATGACAGTGTAGATGATAACAGAACCATTGGTACAATGGATATCATGACATCCAGAGGTACCCGAGGGTATTTCGTCTTTGACTGCCTGGGTCGCCATCCATTGAGAGGTTGGTGGTAGTAATGTGATGCACCGGGGTCTTTCCATTGAATGGGAGATGCACTTTGTAACCACAACGACATGTCTGTCACAGTCCAATGTACTTAATTCCACCTACAACAGTTTCTACTTTCTTCTCTTCGCTTCCTTTTCTTCTTCAATTTCGTATAAATGTGCGATTCGGTTACCCAACCATCACACATACACGCACGCTTCAAACGACCTGCACACACAGAAGATACGATATTTTGTCTCATCTATACCTTCATCTCACTTTCTGGTAGACATCATTTAGTCACCATGTTTAACTACTCCGCTGCCCTTGTGGCATTCGCTATCGCCCTCAGCCTTTATGTGCATTGGACCAACCGTAAGTGTATTTCCCCTTTTATCACCACTTCACGCCATCCACAAGAGGCAAAATTGCAGCAGCCTGTTGAACTACTGGGTATATATCACCTAGCAGCCTATATGTCCTCGCTCTCGTAAGCAATGTCATTTGCTCGAGTCGTGGTTTTAAGCACACTATATATGACTATTCTGATATTTCGGATTCCAATGAACTTAGAAGAATAATACGCTGACTTAAACATAACAAGAACTCTCCGTCTATGGATTTGGAGTAGCCCTCGCTCTCCTTGCGGGATACTTCACAAATGCATATCCTCTTGTCATCGCCCTGGTTCTATTCGTCACTTCTCTCATCTGTCTCCTGGCTCTTATCGCTAGCTCTCGGCTGTTTGTTATATCCGTCTTGCTCTCATCATTCCTTGCCGCATACACCGGTCAGCCAAGGCACTATTTCTGGCTGGGCCAACTTGTCTGTCATATCTGGATGAACGACCAATTGAGCGTATTTTACATCCTCTGCCAATACTTCATCTATGTGTGGCTTAAGGGGACTTGGTCTCCTCGGCCCCAAGCTCAAACTTGGACTTCAATCTTCCGATCCTTGAGCCTCAGCCTGGATTTTATCGTTTCTTGTATCGATGCGTATCTATCACACCTTTTGCTGCTGTCAAAGTATCTTTGCCAGGCTTCTGATAAGGTGTTATACACTACAATTCAGCTTGCGAAAAGCGTTTTATGGGCGTTTACGCAAAACGACCATTGGTGCCCTGACAGGAAGATTGACGAGATCGCACGAGTACGTGCCGAACATGCGGCCAGGAGAAGACGTGAACGCCCCTCTCGTGAAGCTTCGTGTCGCCAGTACGAAGATGCTCTCCAGAAGTCCCATTAGGGTAAACCACAAGTGCAACAGGAAGAGCCTGAACGGAAGCAAAGGACTTTTGAGGGTGGGTACAAGAGGCTGAAGTTGAGTGTGAAAGCTTAGGTAGCCATTCGACTTCTTTCAGATCTCATAGGCCCATTCAATCCCCTTTTGGATAGATCCGCTTCTGAGCCGACGAAAACTCCTTATTTTAGCCCAGCGTTCCCCAAGTTAGTGGCAGACATTGTTGAGTCCAATGCTATAAGTGAAGTCGAGAGACAACTCCGGGAAGCTAGAGCTGAGGCCGAGAGAGAACTTCAGAATAAGCAACCAGCCCCGCCCATTTCTGACTCGACTCCATTTCCGGGAGGTCCTCCTGCTCCGGCTGCTAACCCTTCTCTTCCTCTGCCCCCCTGCACCAGTTTGTGAGGTCTCTCCATCTGAAAAGACTCAACTAGAGTCTTCTCTTGTTCCGTTTACTGAGCCTTCTAGGGAATCTCTGGATACGTCTCTAGCTTTGTTGCTGTCATCGTCCCCTGATACTCTTACTCTAATTATGTCTTCTCCATAGTGTGTGCTATGTATATATATGTAATATTGATGGATGCACAAATAACTCCCTGTCTACAACCCCCGAAAGGAGGGCATTGAGCACATGGTATGATGATGTATGTGATTCACTGCTATATACGATCCTTATTATCCACCAGAGACATGATACTCCGGACATCACAGCTTAGAAATGTTAAACCTCCTATCTCGGCTTGACCTTCGTCCAGCCGTTCGTGTTCCTCTCTCCCTTTTCGCGACTTTTGCCGTTAAAGCCATGGCCAGTGGCCATTTGAGTATCGCCATTTCCACCGCTTTTAACCGTATTGACGCTCATGTAGCTCTCGAAGCCGTACCGGGCCCGATCGTTGTACCTGGGATTGGGCCGCGCCCCTCCAATGAAAACCCCATCATCACCGTCGTCTGGGGCCCAGGCATCATCATCAAGTACCTCCCATTCCGGGATAGGATTCTCGTGGTTGAGTTTGGATTTTAGCTTGTCAGCAAGTTTGATGGGGTTAGGTAGCTTGAAGTTTCGCATCAGGTCGTTTCCTGCAGCGCTACCCAGGAATGTGTGCCCGCTACCGTGAGAATACAGCCCCATCCGAGGTGCACCCTTGCCGAGTTCGGCGGGTCCATTGCCCTCGTTAGCCACAAGTGAGTTCCCGATATCATCGGCTATCTGCTGCGGATTGCGCTGAAGAGAGGAGTTGATGAGGAGGTTGTACATATTTCGACCAATACTGGCAAACGAGTCAAAGTGGTTGTTAATGTCACCCACTGGAACACCCTGCGTGCGGCACAGCCAAACGATATCATAAGCGAGTAGACAGACGGCTTCAATGAAAGCATTGTGTGTTGCGGGATCCTCCTTAGAGAGTGTCGTAAGTGGCTTGTCGATAAATAATGGCCGCGGGAAAGGGACGTTCGTAAACTGCCGATCCCTCGTATCAGTAGGTATGGGCGATGAACCGGGGAAGGCAACTTCGTCATGTTGATACGAAGAGCTCAGGGAAAATATGGTCGGCCGAGGATAATCATTATGAGGCAACGTAATCTCTGCCGGAAGACGAATGGATAGATAATGTGAAGCAAGGAATAGTAGATGAGCAATGTAACTGAGAGATGCTGATATAAGCTCCGGCTGAACACCTTCTACAGAGTTAGCTTTGCTGGTGTACGAATTTGAAGAGAATGCCCTACTATTCATGTTCTGGAGGTCAACGATATCAATGCCCCCTATTTTATACTCGAATCGTACTGGGTTGCCACGCCGAACCCGTTGTAGCCTGTAGAGCTTAGCGACTTCCATGCAGAGGGCGGCCTTGTACTGGGTCATGGCCTCGTATTCCCTGTCCCAGGTGTACTTTTTCATCTTGATGGCCTTCCTTGTTTCGTCTATCTCCCGAGTTCGGCGCGCCTTCACTGCTTGAGACGCAGCAGATATATCGGATTTCCTTTGTGCGAGAGCGGCTCGGCTCTCCTCAATCATTTTCTTGGCGGCGGCGACTTTGTCCCTCAGTTTGTCAGCCGATGCGATGATGCGCTCGGTCCTCTCTCTAATTTTGTTCTCTTCCGAAGCGCAACTCTCGATGTAAGCACGCGAAGGCCGATTTGAAGTAGAAGAGGCAGAGCTGGCATCGTTTTCAGACAGGAGCTTGTTGACTTTGGATTCAATGGCCTCTATTTCCATAAGAATCTTCGCGTTTGCGATACGTCCCTCGTAGAGTTCATTTCTGGCATTGACCACACAAAGAAAGGGCAGGCGCTTGGGATGATGCGCTCGTTCGCAGATATCACAATTCATGCTGGGCAGTGAGTAAGTAGCCAGACAGCGATGTCGACAGAAAGGCGGGAAGCAACAGTAGTGGATGGTCAATCTACGGAGGGCAGCTCGTCTCCTTGAAGGCAGTATGGGGCGAGTGCTTGAGAGCCGATAGTAAGCTGCATATCTACGGACACGGCAATCGGTAACTCGTGACTAGCTATTGTCGGCGTAATATACTGCTAAACAGGATGTATGATGAGGCCCTGCCGCATATGGCACGAGGCACGAGGTGATAGAGTGGAAATGTTCGAGATGTGATGAGAAGAAGCGAGGTCACAGGCAGACAGATCGTCTTGTCTCGTGACGTGGGTAAGTGGGCTTCCGATAGCGGGTAAGCATAGTACTAGGATAGATAAGGTATAGCGTGGCCCGACAAAGGTAGATAAGTACTGTGACCGAGCCTTTTTAGGTTAGTGTGGTCCCGACAAGACGACTTCCAGCCTCAAATTGTTACTAAATAAATCCAATTATCCACTGACGGTCCACTGTATCGGTTACATCCGCAGGGTCCAGCCCACCATTCTGCCACCACCAGTGGCCCCCGTCTCTGGATTGCACAATATGGCAGGTAGGTAGGTAGGTAAATGGGAACAACATCAACTTCTTGACAGAGCTATCTCATAAGCGAGTATCTAGGTGTATATTGTGGGCTCTTCCACAAGGAATGTAGTAGATGGTGTTAAACAGCGTCCAGCGACGTAATATGGAGGTTATCCCACGCGGCTACATTGGCTTAATCCAGCTTGCTCAGGAAATCAATTGCCTGGAGATTAAGTAGACCTTGAGACTCACAACATATGGTCTTGTATCATTGTAATATTTGAAGAGAGGTAGGGACATAGCTTTTTATCTAAATCAAAAACGCAGTTTAAAAACTCGCCTTACAAGATTAACCCATGTTCAGGTCTTACTATCTTACCATTTCAAGAAGGGTGTACTCAACTACAACAAAGGCCGGCAGTCAGCTTATTGCCATTATGGGCACAGAAATTCATTCCTTGATACCTACTTGAACTTTCTAGAGCCGTTCTCCTGAAAACGCCCCAGACAGCTCGATGCAATCCCAAACCAAAGGATTCAAACTTGTAATGAGAAATAACCCAAGAGATCGAACCGATTTATCAAGATCTTTCCACAAGCTGCCCACAGACTATCTTGGGAGGCGGGTATATAATCCAAGCTATCTGGTACAGCTACTACGTACGACTATAGCTACTGGAGAACTCGGGGCCGGTCGCTTACATAATGTTACACTACATTACTCCCTGACCGGAGGAAAGGAGAAGAGAGGAAAAGAACAGGAACAACAAAAGGCGTACCGGTATCTTCAATCGAGCATGCAGTCTCCAAGCAGGGCAGTTACTGTGCATCCTTACCCCTTCGACCAACATTGATTCTTGGCGCTTTAGGCTTGAATATCAGATCAGTACGTTCTTTTACTTGTTCGAGGCAGATGTCGTACTAATCTAAGCCCATGTTAGTTTAAACTTACAGTGATACTGGTACGCTTATGGCAGTGCTAGTTTGAGAAATTGTTATACGCGTACAAGCTGAACATGCAGTTCGCCTTTTGCTACCAGCGTAATGTAGGCTGTCGGGCTTCACAAGCGCTCAAGGTAACAATATCATAGCGAGTACTAGTAGGTAAGTAAGTATCTACATGATACCTAGCCATAGAAACTAACCGACTGCCCGGATATGAATCAAGATAGGTACCTAGCCGGCCGGGGGGGTATACGTAAGGGTTACTGCAAGGGTTACTGGGTCAGTATGCCTTTCTGCAAGTGTGACAGGTGGAATACGCTGTTGCCAATTGGTTATTATGGCTACAAGGCTTTTGTATACGAATTCCATACTAATTCAGTGTACCTTTCGAATTTCTATATTCCTTTCAATTTGGAAACCATGTCAAAGCGTAATACCATGTCCAAATTTAGAAATAATTACTATAGTATAGTATAACCGTAGTCTACTTTATAGTACGTTATTTAACGAAGGTAAAGAAATCTTCCGTTAAAGTTCTGAACTGCGAAGTGATTGCTATAGGTTTCCTGGCGTACGGGGTGGTGGTGGTGGTGGTGGTGATAATTGGTGGTGATTGACTGTAGCGATTATCCTTGAAGGTAGTAATGATTGGATTGGCTGTACGGGCTGTAGGTGGTGGGGCTAGGTCTGTATGGCTACCGGTAGGTCTGTATGGCTAGGTCTGTATAGCTAGGTCTATATGGCTAGGTCTGTACTGCGAAGGACTATAGGGGTTGTAGGGGTAATATGGGCTATTTTAAAGCGCTGGACATAATTACGGTAAGTATATCTGCTAATGGTAAATATTACAAATGGGTAATGTTTTATTTTTATATACAATTATTATACGGTAATAGAATAAATTCGCCGTAATGGTTTCCATTTCAACATGGTTACCATTTGGTAAATGCCCTGCAAGTGTCTTCAGCTGTAAGCCTTTCGAAATGCCGTAACCCTTGCAGTAACCCTTACGAATACCCCCCCCGGGGCGGTAAGGTAAGTAATAATGGGGCAACCCGAGCCTGAACAAAAGCGGCGAGTGCGCTAAACCTAATCCAGGCAACTCCACCACAGCAAGGTGCAGAGCAGATGTGAGTACATGCTGGTTACTACTGGGTTTCAAGGATTGGTACCTCCAGCAAGACGCCAAATCCCATCAGCAATTGAGCAGTTTGTCAATTGGGAAATCCTCAAACCACTCACACAAGGGACAGCTGAATCGCCCAAAATGTCCGTGACGCCGAGGTCCTCTCCACCCTCCCAAGTCCCTCACACCCCAGACCGTACCATGATGGATCAGTCTCTGATGGTCGAGCCACCCAGTCAGCTAGATAGCCAAATAGAAGAGGAGATCGCATGTACCACCGAAGACATTACTGTCCGACTGAATCCCCAGGTGGCGTTGGAGCCGAAAGGCGTCGAGATCACTAATGGAGCTGGCCACCAAGGCCACCAACAACGCCAGCGCCGGGCCCGGACTCCCGAGACACAGAAGCGCCGCAGTGACAGGTCTGAAATGGCCAGCCCAGGCCATCTCGCGCCCTTTGATTGGGACGACTTCAATGATCGCTATGAAAAGGCCCTTCAAGAAGCCGACGACAAGGAGAAACAGATGCTGGAGGAGTTTGGACAACTGGTTAAGGCACGCACGCCGATCTTTACTGCGGCACTCGGTATTACTAACTTTTCCGCTAGTACTTCAATGTCTGGGCCTCCGCATCAACGAACCACGACAACGAGAGGGCGACGAAAAGGTAAGTCCAGATCAACCATCAAATGATGCACGCATATACTAAGACATGACACTCTGCAGACTACAGACACGTGAGAGATATGTCACCCTTTCTGAGCAGTCACTATCGCAGAAGAAACAACACCGTAAGTCGCTGCCTCATATCTCGCGCGAAACATGTGAAGCCCCCGACTAACTGCATCGTGATCAGTTGCCGAGGTTGTGAAGGCCTTTCAGAGCGCGTTAGCCCTCCTGCGAGCTGAGAGATGAAGTGAACATCATCCGTCAATCGGGTTGAGTAACCCGGTACTCAACCTAGCGCATCCATTTCTCGCGTCGAATTCATGACAACGAGAACCTGCATTTGCGGCATGTCTTTGATGTTTTGTTTCTTTTGGCGCATTACTATCCGATGGGCTGGATGGGGGATGAGAATATGACTTACGAGCGCTTACGAAGTATGAATTATGAAGCTATGTGTATCTACATACGCGTATATGAGTAGTATCACAGATCTCACGGCATGCTACTCGAATGAATCAATACATCTCTCCTCGAGAGACCATTGCAATATAAGAATTCTATTTGCAGCTGACCTACTGCTCTATTGAATGAATGACTACTACTGGTATTAGGATGCTTTGTCATACTGCATAGGTACCTAGCGAGCCTAGGTACTCTATAAAATATGGGGCTGCGCGTCGCGCTCAGGTAGAGTGACCCCTACCAACCTCGCTACCTAATTGATACCTAGGTAGGTAGCTGCCTGGCCCACCTTAGCTTTCCTCTTGAATAGCCAAGCACGTTACCTTTTTCATCCGACTTTGTAGAGGACCGCTCAAGAATTGCCCATATTGCCATTATATATATATATCACACGCCTCGATGGCATTTCAGGGACCGGAAGTGTCTCATGTGAGTTGTACATTTCTATTCGGCTGCTTTTTCAAACGTTGCTGACACTGACAGCTTGCAAGGCAGACATCGAATCGTTTCATGCGACGCATTTCTCCAACGATGCTGTCAATCTGTTCGAGTTCGAGTTCTTACGTCCTGATGCCGCGCATGGTGGCGCTCCGGAAAGCTATTACTACGAAGAGGAAGAAGATGATGGGCTAGGATACTACCCTGATGGGGTGAAACGCACATTGACAGACGAACAAATCGGAATCTTCCGTCACTCTGAAATGGAGGCATTACGCCGTGCTGATAGAGCGGCTTCGAAGCAAGAAACCACACCTGATTCAGAGCCCGCAATAGACCCCATCGGAGGAGAGCCTGTGCACACGCCCATAGAAAATGGGGTCGTGTCTACAGACTCTGCCGAAGGTAGCGAAGATGGAGAGATTGAGACTGAGAAACCAGTCTTGACCAAAGCTGAGATTAGGCGTCAGAAAAAGCTACGGTCTAGACAGAGGAAGAAGGAAAGCCACAAGTTCCAGCCGGAAAAGAAACCCGATCTACGCAAGAGGACGTGGGATGTTGTCGAAGCAGGCATGGACGCTTTGCATTACGATGATCTTGGGACATCCCAAGACAACGCTTCCGCGTCCGCCACTCAGCGGAAACAGATCTCATATGACGACTGAACATCTGTCACATCGGCACATGTCTATAATTAGTAGCCTCTATCAGACGACTTCTCTGGAGATTATGCACGAGACAAGCATAAGAATCTAGGTTAGTAGCTCTCTTAATGTTTCCGTGTCTTTCCACATGATGAAAACCTTTGTATCGTCATCCTTAGGCGGAAGTCAGTCGATCTCGCCTGATGTTAGCCTAGCTAGCGGATTCCGGGTTCGGTAACTGACGCATGTCGAGATATTAATCTTCTCTCTGAAAGTGGCATTCCCAAGAATTTTCTGCTTCTATTTCCTACCTGCAGCAAGACTACATAGCTAATGTACACCAGATCCGGCGCACGCCACATCCGTTATGAGCAACTGTATTTGTAGCGCAGCTCCGAAGCGGCGCACTAGCTAGCTCCACAAGTACGGCTTAGACTTAGGATGTCGATATTGGCCCCTTGCCCTTGGACCCCACGGCGAGACGACGATGATGTTGGAGGGAGGGCGTATCGTATCGTATCGCAGGTGTGGAAAGGCGTGGCAGCTCTTGGGACGATGAAATTGCTAGCAAACCCGCCTCTACTGCAGTTACGAGAGCTGTAAAGACAACAATTACGAGCTGACCATAGTAGATAGTCGCATTCTTTAATATCCCAATCTGACAAATAACGACCCTTCTGTTGGGAATGTTGATTGGCTGTTGTGCTACTGCCTAGGTACGAATGTAAAGGTTTCTTGGTAAACGTTGGATAGAAGCTAAGTGCCCACCTGCTATTATGGTGTAGTGAAGGTAGAATCGACCTTATTAGATAACTATTCGCAGCACCTTGTAGCTACCTAGGTACATATGTAGGTACATAAGTAGGTATCTTTTGCCTTGTCGAGTGGGTCTAGTTAGGGGTTGCCCGTAGTTTTACCGGCGCTTACCTACCCCGCTGGTGGCCCGCCATCCCGGTTGCAGAATCAGGCGGACGATGGCATGGGCAGTTCCAGGCCGTGCAAGACGGACTTCAGCTTGTCTTAGGTGAATAGGTATTCGGTCAGTAGTATATTATATATTATATAGTATCGTGGTGCCTCAATTGCGTCCCACCAAGGTTTGCGACGTCAGCTTGTTACCGGCGTCCACGCAAGCAGGCCAACATCCCATACCCGGTATCCTGTTTCTGGGGACTTCACGAGCTTACCTGCACGCCAGTGGGCCTCTGCCTACCCTCGCTGCCTTGTTCGTTCTCCCACCGGCTTCCGCCAGCCTTAGTCTCTTCTTCCCCACCATCCCCAAGCCAGCCTTGCCCAATTTGCGTCCCGACAACCTCAGCGACTGCTCAGTCGCCTAAGTACCATTAGCCATCATGGCACGGGTCTACGCCGATGTCAACCAGAACATGCCCAGGAGCTACTGGGACTATGATTCTGTCAATATAAGTGAGTGCAGCGCTTCGTTTGCCGATTTGCCCAGGCCTGCTATCAGGCCCAACCCCTCCGCCAATCTGATGTCTCGTGGCTGGAGACAACTCCTCCCGCCCGACGACGTCCTATCCGTCGCCTGTCCGTCAAATTGAGTCGTGCTGATTACTGTGTTCGCATAGGCTGGGGCGTCTTGGAGAACTACGAAGTTGTACGCAAGATCGGTACGTCACGACAACGAATACCTGTCCCGACCCGCCACTACTATTGACCGTCATTACTTACGATACTTCAGGCCGTGGCAAATACTCCGAGGTTTTTGAGGGCATTAACATTGTCAACTATCAAAAATGCGTCATCAAGGTGCTTAAGCCTGTCAAGAAGAAGAAGATTAAGCGAGAGATCAAGATCCTACAGAACCTCTCGGGTGGTCCCAACATCGTCGCTTTGCTAGATGTAGTTAGGGACAGCCAGGTATATAACCTCCTTTCCTTGCCTTCACTTGTCCGACGTCCGACGCCACAAACGACGCTTGGACTCACTTGTCTAAGATGCAAGGACTGATATAATCTGTTTCAGAGCAAGACACCGTCGCTTATCTTCGAATACGTGAACAACACAGACTTTAGGAGCCTGTACCCTAAGTTTGTTGATATCGATGTACGGTACTACATCTATGAGTTGCTCAAGGGGTTGGACTTTTGTCATAGTAAGGGAATCATGCACAGAGACGTGAAGCCTCATAACGTTATGATCGATCATGAGAACAGAAAAGTATATCCCCTAGGCCCTCAATCTGTCACTGAATTCCTGACTTTTTCATAGTTACGTCTCATCGACTGGGGTCTAGCTGAATTCTACCATCCCGGAACCGAGTACAATGTGCGCGTAAGTCATCATTGCGTATCTTCCTTTTGTTTTCGAGAACAAGAAACTCGTCTCCACGGTCGTGTAGAGTTGTGCCATTGAGAATTTCTTTATTCCCTATCAAATTGTCACCCAGTAATGCTAACTTCTGCTGGACTAGGTTGCATCTCGATACTTCAAGGGACCGGAACTGTTGGTAGATTTCCAAGAATACGACTACAGTCTGGATATGTGGAGTCTTGGCGCGATGTTTGCGTCTATGATCTTTAGAAAGGAGCCATTCTTTCATGGCAACAGTAACTCGGACCAGCTTGTTAAGATCGCCAAGGTTTTAGGCACCGATGACCTATTCGACTACTTGGATAAGTACGAGATAGAGCTGGATCCCCAATACGACGAGATCCTGGGTCGTTTCCAGAAGAAGCCTTGGCATAGTTTTGTCAATTCCGAAAACCAGCGATTCGTCAGTAGCGAAGCGATCGACTTTCTCGATAAGCTATTGAGATATGATCACCAGGTTTGACTGTCTAAAGACACTTCTGCTTTTCTACCGCTGACTAGTCTACTAGGAACGGCTTACGGCCAAGGAAGCCATGGCCCACCCTTACTTTGCGCCTATTCGGGATGAGGCGACCCTCAAGCAGTACTTGAATGGTGCAACTGTAAGCTCTGAAACCTGAGAGAATACGACAAGTTAGGTCACGATGCTACAACGATATGCTATCTTGCCGCTATGTCTCCTCCGGTTGAGATACCCCGAACCCACGCTCATCTGTACACGAGTGAGGACTCAAATCGCGCCGTGTCGCCTATGAGACGCCGAACTCCTCGCTAGAAATGTGATAAATGAAATACCCCGCCCGTCATCCCAAATGATCCTCATGGTAGTTGGTCTTCTGCTGATGTGGATATTTACTGCGTCATCCACACTGCCTGTACGGATCCTGTTGACCACCCGGTCTGAAACTCATATAGAGAAGACACCGATAGTACATAATGCAAACAAAAACAAAAAAAAAACACCTTCGAGCCGCCAGTAAGAATTGAGGGAGGTTGCGCGTTTTCCTATTAACATATCTTCGGATAGCGGGTCCCGGTATTTCCAAATATCCACATGTGTATTGCTTATAATGATGAATGTTAACTGGGTTTTGTCGTTAAGGTACTCGTGCTATGAATCGATCCTCGGCTATGACTTGGTCGTCAATTAATGGGTTGTTATCTTCTCACTTATTTCTTTTCATGGAACCCTTTCTTTAATGATGAATCGGTTAGTTGGATAATTTTCTGCTCTATGTCGTATGTCACGTTTACGTAATGGCGTTGAATGGTTCGTATTATGGCATGGCATGGTCAGTTGCTTGGTTAGTGGTGAAGAACCAAAGGTGCTCACTGGCTGTCTGTAATCTAGCATACTGAATGGAATAGGTAGGCGATTTACACGAGTCAGGATTTAGCGTTGATTAGGTGTCTACCGATTTATTCTCTACATTTCCGAGATATGATATGGAACTTCAATGCTTGGACTTTACGGAACTCGAGTAGTAGTGTAATGGATGGAAGCGCATGTGTAACGAGATGGTAAGGGGAGCGTTAAAAGCTATGGTAATCCTCCTTCAGGTTGGACAAGCGGATCGGGAAAATTATGTAATGGAATCTAGGCTTTTAGGGGAGTGAGGATGTAAAAGCCCCAATAGAGAATTGACATATTACCAGTGATAACACGGTTTACAGAGATGGCGCTAGAACTGTGCTCTACTTGCTATTTCATGCTTTATTACGATACTTTGTGGATTGATGTTGATTACACCTTAGACAGGCTAACTATGGATAGAATTTGTATACTCGTCGCATCCCGACGTTCATCCCGATACGACCGATTGACTACACTGGCTATCTGTTGGTCTCGATAGGATCGATACAGTATGTGAAGACTATGATCTTACAATGTTGTCCTCGCTATCACATTGATTGCTGGCCTAGCATTCATTCATCCTTAACTAGTAATGGTTCTTATGCGGATATGATATGAGCTAAGTAAGCAAAACCTTGCCTTGATGAGCTGGGCACGTAAATAGTAGGAGCCGCGGGTATTAAGCAATAACTGGTTTTGTGAGAGGGACCAGGGGGAGCGCGTTTCTGTTCGCATATTTCGGAATGTATACGACCCAGGCCTATATGCAGCAAGTGAAGCAGAACTCCCGCCCGCACTCGAAGCCGTCCTCACCACACCGTCGCAAGGTACCATTTGGTGACGGCACTACACTTGGTCTTCTTAATGGAGTTACTTGTTGTCGTTTGGTAGGACTGCTGAGCAGATGTTTGGCGACTCTGCGGGATAGAGGCGAGCTGTGCACCGCTGGGTTTCGTTCCTGCCGAGTTTGGTTTCGACCCGTGCGCGAATCTGTCGCCGGGGGCATCATGTTGCCTTGCCCGAGACTCCGATTTGGCGTTCGCGCGGATGAGCCGGGGGTCCGAGTCACTAGATTGTGTTTTCGTTTTCTGTTACGGGGGGTTAAGAGTAGAGGCGGTAAGTCATGGTCGGGGGTGGCCCGAAAGAATGGAGAGAACAATCTCGAGCCCGTGGTCGAAACCGAGCCTGCAATGCTCAGCTCGTCATCGCTTTCATCATCAATGCCCTCAGGTAGAAGGGATGTGAGAGGGAAGCGCTTGCTTGACGGAGTGCGGCGATAGCTGTTCGAGCGTTGCACGCTTTTGGGTCCTTGATTTCTTGTCGGAGTTGTAGGGGTAGGTGATGTGTTGGTTTGGGAGACAGCACTGTTAGTGAACCTAGACCGAATGGGTGTTCCTAGCTCGGGGCTAGGAGATCTGCCTTTCTCAGGAACATTTTGGTTATCGTTCGTTATTGAGCTCAATGACGATGGCAACACCGGCTCTGACGTACGATCGGCTTCCGGCAAGACGGATAGGTCTTGGTCCGGTAATTCTACAATCCCGGGCGTGTGACTCCTGTGCTCATCGTAGTGGTCTGACCCCAGTCGCAAACCATTGATTTCAGCGTCAAGACCAAGGTCACTCGGACACACCGGGTCATCAAAGGCATTTTGCTCATCGTCATCGGGTATCTCATATGCCTCCAGATTCGGGGACAAAGAGTCTCGACCTGGAGATTCGTCGGACTCCGTTCGATCAGATACGACCGAGTGTTCGGAGTATTGGGGACCGATATCGCCAACGTTATGTTCGGACGCGGAGTCTCGGCTCTCGCAAGATTCCGCAATCTCCGAAATGTCAAGCACGCCATTTACCTCTATCCTAGAAAATTCTGGCTCATCATCGGCGGTAGTTTGGTTTTTGGGGATTGCTATTTGTTTGTCTTGATTCTGGGTTGTTCCGAGAGCGGCCGTTCCCATAGGGGATGAATCAATCAAATCTATCGTAACATCGAGAGTATCATTTCCCACGGTTTTTTTTGGTGATACTGATTGTGTTAATACTCCTTTCGGGTTGTGCTCAATAGCATGTATTGATTTCAAACTTTCTTCAACATCCAAATTCAGCATCACTGGCTCGTCGCCCATATCGATGTTTGTATCTTGGGAAAGCTGTTGTTCAGTAGTAATACTGCCGTGTTCTCTATCACAGTCCAATTTCTGTCCAATTTCGCAACTATCCTCTTTAGGAGTGTTATCCGTAAAGCCATCCTGGGGTGTTTGGAAAGAGCTTGACTCCTGTGTTGCTTCGATGCATATATCTTCGGAACTCTTTCGACCCTGTGGTGAGGTCTCCACATTAGAAGGATCTATGCGTTCCTGTATACGCTTTGAATGTTTTTGCAGTGCCTGTTGAGATTCCAAAGAGTGAGTGGTATGCTTTGCGTAGTCACCTTGTACCTCTTCATTGACACCCTTGGATGACTGATGCACTGCATCTCCACTGTGCCCCGTTAACTGTATATCATGGAAGCTGTCTTGAGAATTTGTATTCTCGATTATTTGGTCGTCAGAAACATCTTGGTCCTGGCCTGGCCGTTGTAAGCTCTCGTCAACTAGTAAGGCGGCCGGATCCTCGGTAGATTGCCTCGTGGCTGATGGGAGCAGGGCTTTCATAATCGGGATCACTATTTCAATCCTTCTTTCATTCGGTTGAAGAGCGCGAACTTGGCTGGTGGAAACTTTCTCGGGAGCGTGAGGGGATCCGCGAGTATCTGAATTTCTTGGTGGCCTTCTCTTGTAGCGAGTAGGGGACAAGCGATTATGCGGACTGCTTAGTCGCTGGTCGTGCCGGACAGCCTTATCTTCATTGGTCGATTTTTCAGCTACCGAGGCATCTAGAGCTGAGGGTTTTGTCACTATTTTCTCCAACTCCTTTGTAGTAACATCAAGTTCAAGTCGTAGCTCATCATCATCAAGACCGATTCCAAAGAAAGGAGGTAGCTGATTAGAATTTGGAGCAGACAGACGTAAACCAGTTGTGGAGTTAGATGCCACGCCAACCTTTTGCCCGTCTTCTAAACTGGCCAAAGGTGCCTTTTGTTGTCTGCTCCTACCGAGAATAACGCTGTCTTCTTCATCGGCTACATCCACGTTCCTGGCCTGAGAAGGTGTAGAGGTGCTGCGAAGGAAAGACTTAGCGCTCACGAGTCTCCTGGTAACGTAACCCGATTGCCCGCCAAATGAGCCCGTCTGACTTTCTCCTATTCCAATCAGAGGCCGATATTGGGGCTGAAAAGGTAAATCCGGGGCTTGCCAAACTGGATCAACGTGGCTGTTTCTGAACGTGAAACGCCCGAGATCAAAAGCAGGAGGAGAGCCATAGGAAGAGAACGCAAGACTGGATAATCGAGGCGCGTTAAATCTAGGAGACTCATTCCATGGCGACTGGAACTGCAGTCTCTGAGTGTGTCCGGTGTAGTTTGTGGGTATGAGCGACTTTGATGGCGGTTTTTTCTGGCGACCACCCGACTTCCCACTCAGAATCCTTTCTTCTTCATCGGCCGACAGAGAATGCTCGGCGTTGTTGTCTTTCCGATTTTCCAATGACTTAAGATGGCCATTGTCGATCTCGATCTCATCTGTGTAGAAGTTGATGACATCGTCGTCGCCGTCAAAGTCCTTGCCATATTTTTCAAAAATGTCTTCGAAGGTGGATTTGAGTCTTGTAGCAGCTTTTGCGCGGCCTTTGTCAAGCTGGTACATGGGGTCTTGGGTGGTATCGAACTGGGCGGGGGTCATAGACAACTCGTCCTGGTCCTCATCGTCTTCGTCGCCGGACGAGGACAAATTGAGCCTCAACCGTTTCAAGGGAGGCTCCATCTTGGAATTGGCTGCAATCGCATACCACTTGCCATTTCGCAAAGGGTTGTCAAGTATCACAAACGGTGGATCTTGACTGTCCCAGAAGGATATGAGGGCCTTTGATTCAAAGGGCTCCAACTGATTTGTTGACAAAGAAAGGGCTCCAATCTGGTGGTCGCGGCAACCGTCGCATCATGCGCTCTTGGGGTCGTACCAAGTAGATACATCTGGTAAGTACCACTAGAGGCCTGGACTTAGGGCGCGTTCGATGCGCGTTAGCAGGTGACCCCGCGAGACATGTACCTCCATAGCTAATTGCTTACCCTATTAAGTTAGCTGGACTGCCTACATGTACCTACCTACCTAAGGTACATAGGTAGTTACTACAGCGGATCAGGACTTACCTTACCTACTGTAGGTTAAGTAAGCACTACTTTAGCACGCACATGACGTATAGCACCGTCCATGCATCTACAAGGCTGCTATCGCGAACCCTGCGCCGACTTTCATATAGACGGCTTTGTTATCTACATCGCAGAAGCCTATGCAAGCCTAGGATGCCCTAATGCGAAACTTTGAGGCCTAACCTAAACGTGCAGCATGGGATTCTTCCCCGCTGCCGCTCTCAACCTAGGCACATCATGTATTGCCAAAAGTGTCGAGCTCCTCTGAAGCTGGACGGATCGTTGGCCGACTTGAATCCCGCTGCTTTCGACCTCTTAGTTGGTTCGTTATCGCGCCCATGTCCGTGTATTAATACTGACCCTGATCTGTTTCTTCAGCTTCTACAAACCAACAGCAGCCGAACCGGTCGCACGCCGCTCGACCTTCCTACCCCCACGAGTCCGAACGCCGTGCCCTCTACGACAGAGTGTCCCAGAACTCGGGCCCGCCAACTTTCAAGAAACAGAGTAGTGGCCCTCGCGACAGCTCTGCTATGTCTTTTGTGCTCTTGACAGAATCTCAAGTTGCTCCGCCGAGGCTGACCACCCCTCACGAACAACAAAACCCTAATCAACAGCGCCGCGCGTCATTTTCGACAGGCCAGCGCTCTGAAGGCAGAACTGCCCATCCCCATGAGGCAGAACGTATAAACAGACTTTTCGAGATTCTGTCTGCGCGATCCGATATTGACCATCCAATATGTGTCGAGTGCACTGAGATGCTCGTAGATAGTCTGCAGAAGAGACTAGAATCTAGTGCTCGGGAACGAGATGCCTATGCTAGCTTCTTAAAGCAGGTTCAGGCCGATGTCCCTACAGAAGAAGACATTGACGGATCGAAACGTCTCCTCGCCGAGGCGAAGAAGGAGGAAGAAGAGTCGATGAAAGAGTTGCTGAATCTGGAAAAGGAAAAGGCAGCCTTGGACGAAGAAATACTAGCCCTTGAAGAGGAGTCTCGGAAACTCGATATTGAGGAGGAAAAGTTTTGGCGGGATCGTAACGCCTTTGCCTCGAAGCTTATCGACTTCCAAAGCGAAAGGGACAGTATCAACTCCAAATTCGACCATGACGCCCAGCTCCTGACAAAACTCCAACGTGCAAATGTTTATAATGACACCTTCTCTATACATCACGACGGCAACTTTGCTACAATTAACGGCCTTAGGTTAGGGAAGCTGTCGTCCAAACCTGTTGACTGGCCGGAGATTAATGCAGCCTGGGGTCAAGCATTACTGCTTGTCGTTACAGTGGCGGACAAGCTCGGATACAAGTTCGACGGCTACGAACCCCTACCGATGGGTTCAACGTCGAAAATCATAAAATACGAACATATTTCGCCTTCCTCGAGCCGGGTCGGTGCCCATAGAAGTGGCCCGCCACCAGCTCCTAAGAAGAGCGTGCTTGATCTTTATTGCACGGGAGACCTCCCTCTACAGATGTTGTGGAATAGAAGCTTCGACAAGGGCATGGTGGCTTTCCTGGAACTAGTCAGGCAATTGGGTGCCTCAGTACACGAGCAGACTAAAGTGACCGGACCTCATTCATATTCTACTACACCTTTAGTGCTGCCGTACAAAATTGAAGGTGACAAGATAGGGGATGACAGGATTGGACATTTCAGTATAAGGTTGGGAATCACGAATGATGAAGGGTGGACCAAGGCATGCAAGTTTGCCCTGACATGCTGCAAATTTCTCATTGCACATGCAAGCAACGTGAGCGTTATGGCAACGCGTGCCAATGTATAGACTTTTCCTAAGAGTTATTATCTCGCTAGAGCAGGGATTCGGCGCGTTCTTATGATTCTTTCAAGGGGGATTTCTGGCGTATTGTAGGCAATTAGACACGGCGAAATACTCCCATTGATTGCTTTTTTTCTAGCACGGTGTCGGGTGTACAGTCTCGATTGCTCTCCATATTACATTAATTTTCTGCACCAAAGATGACCAATATATGCTGGTATTAGGCTCTACATGCATTAAGCATGCTTTAACATCACTATCTGTTATAGATGAGGAGGGATAGGGAGGAAGAGTGCTTGATATTATGATTGGACTGGATACTTTGAGTGGGTGTGAAGATTCCTTCCTAGCCCAAAGCCATACCGGACCTTAACCTTGACCGAGACAGCAACTGACAAAAATGGCCCCGTTCAACCTCCATAAGTCCGATCTGGTTTGGCACCCTAACTGGAATGTTGAGTTGGTTCCTTTGAGTTATTAATTCACAACCCAAGTCCTATCGCAGTAATTACAATATGCCCATCGTCTTCCAGATCTATGGCCTCGCCATTCCCTACACCCAGAGCAGTAAAATCTCTCTGATTCCCGTGTATAAGAAACGTCTCGCGGATCATGTACAACGCGAGAAGCTGTATGCACTACTGACTCGCTCGGCGAACGATCCGCAGCTGCCCGTCGCATCACCGTCTGCGCTGCTGCAGTGAGGACCCCATTATGTAGCAAGGGAGGGACCATGCGAGACGCTGTGGGCTGGCTTGTCTGAGAGAGCCGCAGATCAATCAGCTGATTTTCATGAGCGTCTTCATAACCAAGTGATCTGAGCAGTTCGCTCAGTGGAGGGACAGCTTCTGCACCGGCGGGTGTCGGGCTTCGATAAGTAGCGAAGGACTGGGGCCGGCCGGGGCTGTCTAGCTGTGTAATGGGTATGCCCGTGAAATGTTGGGGAAATAGGACGCGGAGAGGGGCAAGTACAAAGGAAGTACGGTTGTTAAATGAGGCAGGGTGTTCTCGGACAGAATGCTGCGCGGAGGAGTTCCTTAAAGCAGAGCGTAGTAGCCCGTTCTGACGGTCATGTGTTCGACCGTCGACTTCGGGGGCGAAGTGGTTTCGGTCGTCGATGAAATGGTTCCGAGAACGGGTATTGTTAAGACGAAAACTAGAGACAGGCTCACTGATAAAGCTTTGTCTAAGGTGATAACCGTTGGCTTGGCTTGTGTTGTCCATGTTGTTGGGTTGTACAGTGAGAGAGTACTCCGTATCTGGAGTCTCAAATTCGAGGTGAAGTGAATGTCTTCACAGCTCTGACACTGAGAATATAGTCGGAATATATTTCAACAGTAAGGAAGGAGAACGCAGCATGGCAGCTTCTAGAACTCGCTTCACAAGTATGCTAAATATGCCTATGTGTATACAACCTTCATGGGCCAGGGGTAGCCTTGGTGCCCATGTGAAATCTTGCCATCAGTTGAACAATACTAACCGCCGATTACACACTGCGCAAGTCATTCGCAATGTGCACGCGGCTATTCTGAGAACACAAGTATAACATCACGGGCATACTGAAGCAAGGCATAGACCGTTGTGTCCGGAAAAGGAGAAGCGAAGAATAAGTTTCGGGAGAAACGTATCATTGTGGTTAGAGTCATCTCGATCACGCTTACCACAACTGTAACGGTTTGTCAAGAAATTCGTAGATTACATGTGCTTCACTATCATTTGTGTTTTTACGTATTACGAGGGAGGGATTGGACGCATATACTCCATAGAATCAGTGGTCGGCACACACTACACCCTGTTGTAGGGGTGGAATAGATTGAAAAGGGGAAGAAAAGAAAAGAAAGATGTAGTGCTGCCCTACTGACTAAAAGTGTCTTTATCAAAGGGAACACTACGGTCAATGGGAAAAATATATATCACGCCGCTTTCACTCTACACATGTAGATAGAGGGGGCGAGGGAGAAGCGGGAGTGTTGTACATCTCTAAAGGGATAACTTCTATCCACCAAACCGATAACCGCAACACCCGCTATATTTCCCTTGTTATACACATTCAATCACGTGTATCTAGGTTGAGAGTAACCAACCTAAGCAGCTTTAAGTAGAACATTGATTTCCTAGCCTTATGGTAGTGGTCACACATAACCTCCTTATAGGGCTTGTGGTGGAAGTATCTAATCCGCGCTGCAGAGTCCAGCAAATGAATAAGTGCATGTGGCTATGTCATTGTATTCCTTTTAGTGACGCATCAACCATCTACAGCAAAAGCCTGCCACCATTGGGGCCCGAGGCGAGTCCCGTTCTGTTTGTTATTCTGCATTCGCCATCAACTATCACAATCAGCCACCCGGACCGGCACTTCCCGCTCCAAGAGTGTAACCGTAGACCTCATGTGAGATTCCCCTTGTTTCAAGTTATCCCTGAAGCCGTTTGCCGCTTAGATGCTGTGCAAACAAAACCGCGCAAGAGGACTGGTTGCTACATGGTTGCTACATGGATTAGCATCCCGCTCACTGTGACGAGATTGGGGTGTATCGTCGAACCTATGCGTAAGAACGTAATGTTGTAGCTCAACCTTGGGACAAGTACTGGCGTGATGGTTTGGACGATGATATGCTAGCTTGAGGGCAGACTTTTCGTACTACTACTTCCTAGTCGTTTCGATAACTAGACAGCTTTGGATCTGACTATTCGAAGCATGGAATTAATCTAAGAATTCTAGGCTCTCAAATCTTATGTCGTAAGTATGGTAATTGCAAGTATGTTAAGTAGACTAGCCTGGGCTAGTGAGCTGGCTGAACGGCATGCACGCGAGTATCTCTTTGCGATCTGGGATATCATGATAACCCGTTGCCTACTGATGTCAGCGGAACTGCTCATAATTATAAGAGATATTTCAGATATCTCTAGCTGTGCTTACAATACCACGTCAGTCAGCGAACATTGTCTACTGGTAAAGCAGCCTGTGCAGAATCAGAGGCAAATTCGCTCAGAGCATAGAAAATAGGCAACAAACAAGCATAAATCAACAGGAAGTTGAATGAATAGGGTATTGAGTCTGTTAGGGTCAATTGTGCATCATTTCTTTTGCCGATAACTGTCCAAGGAGAGCGTAATTCTTGTCAACAGAATGCAATGTGCAGAGCCCTCTTGTAGTTGGTTATCTATGCATCTGATCGTGCAAATGGATTAGGAATTTCGCACTTCGCACCAGGCCCGCCTGAAAGCGACTCCCTCATCAGGCCAATGAGGCCTGACATGCTGATCAATGTGGTGTGTAAATGTACCTGATGGGGAACTGCCAACTTCAACCAATAGTACCATATATGATAAACATCGGCCCCCTGCAGAATTTCCAGTATAATATGAAGGGCGCACAGTTGTGCATCGCCCCAGTAGTACACGCGGCCGATTCTTATTTGAATCACATGTAGAATTGTTCGCCACTGCAAATCCAGTATATGTTAGAAGACTTGTAGAGAAAATGGAGCCCATCGTCAATTTAATTGAAACGGACATATCCCTCAGTTGTGTAAGTATTGGGTGTCACTGAGAATAATTCAAGGGAGTTTTGGCGCCTGCCGAAATTTGTCTGACGGGGCATGCTGATTTAGGGACCCTGAACTTGGCTATTTCAACAATTTCGAGTTTATTAGAAGAATCACCTCCGGTCATTTCAAAAAGTAGCTTTTACCTTATAACTACCACCATACACTTTGATGAGCTTAGCTAATAAGTCAAAATGGTTGCCCCTTTACCGATTTCACACGGTGGGGTGCAGGTGACAGTGATAGGCATTGTCTTTCTTCTTCTTTCTTTCTTAGCAATCGGGCTTCGGCTCTGGTCAAGACGGATCTCCTGCGCTTCGATTGCATTCAACGACCATATGGCCATTCTAGCAACACTATTCACCGCAGCTTTGATTGCTCTGAGTATCGCAAGTATCATGACATCGCTCTTTGTTGTTACTAACAGACAATTACTAAATTTGATATAGCCTCCTTCTTCGGATTGGGACATCATGTACATGATATTCCCATTGAAACCTTTACTTTATTCCAAAAAGTTCGTAATGTACGAAAATCCTCTCTCCTTCGAGGCTGACAACAAGTCTCGTAGATCAACATAGCGATCCAATTAATTTGGGCCTCGGCAAACACATGTGTCAAAATATCAATTCTCTCACTGTATACCGCCTTATTCCCCGGCAGGAAGTTCGCCAGAATTTGCTATACCGTTGCCGCCTTCTCTATCGCGTTCTGGATCAGTGTTGTTCTAGAAGGGTTTGTTCTCTGTACACCCGTGCAGTTCAATTGGGACAGAACCGTTCCTAATGGTGTTTGTGCTCGGCAAGACATCGCTTATCTGCTTGCCGGTATCATGAACCTTCTAATTGATGCGATCGTGGTGTCATTGCCCGTGAATTTGCTACTGGGGTTGAAGATGCCTCTTCAGAAGAAACTGGGCGTCATCGCAATGTTCAGCCTTGGAATGATGTAAGATAACGAGGCGAAACAAGGGGAAAGAACTAACAATCAACAGTATCTGCATCATTACCCTTCGGCGGATAATCCTTATACGTGCCTACTACCACCTGACCGACAAAACGTATAACACAACAAAAATTACCACGTACTCGATTTTGGAGCCGACCCTTGGAGTAATGAACTCTTGTCTTCCAGTCATGAAGCCTGCATTGGCTAGAATTTATCGCGCCGTTCGTCGAACGCCTAGAGAGACTAACAATACTGCTACAGACTTAGCTGGATTCGCCAACCGAAGCACACAAAATAGGGGGACTTTTAAGAGATTTGATGATTGCAGCCTTTTCCACATCAGTGAGGACACACTTCTCAATGCAACTATCCAGGCAGATAAAACAACTGCAAACGCGTCCGTGCCAGACCCGATCATCGCTACCAAACACTGCGCAATTGATCCACTGTGAACTACAGGGCGTTTTAGTCTCAGCTTAATTCACAAATCAGCTATGCTCCATCTACCAGCAAGGGATGCTGGCGATTATGGAAGGGTATTCAATTTCATAGGAGGGCGCTGCACGGTTCTTAGATTAAAGATTAATTTATGTCTCCTATAAGTAATAATAATATTAAATGGAGTTAAATGATGGCAGAAGTTTATCCTGTTTTAATACTGCTGCTATATAAGTTAAAATAGTACTGTAGGTGCTAAATACACGCTCTAACGAATACGCCTCTTCCCTAGTAACATACGAACTTGAACTAACAAGGCAACTTTTATAGATCAGGACGGCCTTCATTTCATTGGGATGGGATAGATATAAGATAACTGTCTATTCCCGTAACTTTTATATAACCTTCACTTCCCTCCCCTTTTCACTAGCAGAACTATTATCTGTAATCTAAAACACGTACAACAATCCTCAAGCGGAACCTATTTGCAGGTGTCTGGAGGTCCTTGTTCTTGTATCTTCTGCATGTTGATTTCATTAAGCCAACCGGGCCCGAACCCCCAACGCTTAAAACTACAATCCCAGAATCTAGCCCTAGGTTGCCGCGCCTGATTCGTTGTGCAAAATAGGATCATCGGCGATGCTAGGGATGAATGTGACAGTAATATCACGCGCAAGTTCAATGGCCTTACGGTCATGCGCTTGTGGAAGGTGTTAGAATCAACCTGCTTTCCGTCGTCTCCCGGTAACTCTATCCATCCCTTCGGGCAATAGTCTCGAAGCGAAACTGATCAGGCTTCCGTCCTAAGGCTATCATCCCAAGGTGCAGGATAGCGTCGATTTTGATATACTCTTCTTCCTCACCTGGTTGAGGTTTGGGCAGAAATAGGGAACGTTTACCACTCCAGATATCTCTTGACACAGAGCGCACATCATGTATCCAAGGTATCTCGAGAGTACTTAAGAATTCGGATGTCCCTTTTGATGGGTCTCTCAACTGTATCCGGGAGAGCGTCTCTCACTAACTGAGACGTGTTGTAATCATACTCCATAAATGGCTGGGAATTTAAGCCTAGTTTTCAGGATGACATAAGGGAGTTTTATTAGGAGCAGGAGGAGATTTTCAGCTATCCGTAGATGTTGGTCTCAGATGGGCAAATCGCGTATCGACGTAACCCCGCAAGCTGTTTCACGTTGTTTGTTCATCATCAGAAGCGCGTAGGTTCAGCCGCAAGGCATTATCACTCTTAAAAGATGAGGGAGTGCGCTCTTACTTGTGTGCCTCGTCCTCGCGTGCTTGTCGACTTACTTACACCCGCCATTCCGGATGCGATACCTATTCTTTCAACGCCAAGCTGTAACAAGCTTGACTCTGGACAGCAATGGACGACGACTACTTGAGAAATGCTCTGACAAGAACTTAACAAACCTAAGCCTAGGAGAGCTCAACGCGTCTATATCACCATCTCAGAACTCTTGTCTACGGGAAATGGATTGATCAATGGAACAACCTGATTACGTCAGAGTACCCTTTGCCTTCAGACCTAGGTGATAAGGTTATTCAGCTATGATGTGAAGTGGTAGATATACTCCATGAGCACGGTGGAATATCCATTCTCAAGGTTGTGCAGAAATTACAGCTCAAGGGAATTATCCATGAAGACCGCGACTTGTCTTACAATTCACCCTGCCACTGCATGGTTTTTAGTTTGATTGGGTAGCTTTCACTGTTATATATTCCAGCGATCGAAAACCAGTCCGACGAGCTAAGAATAACACTTCGAGCTACCCACTGCGCGATACGTTGCGGTGTCCCAAATGAGATTGTAGCCCGACCATCCGATGAGCTGTTACGTGCAGACTTCTATCAAGAAAATGAGAAGCTGAGCAAAGACTTCAGTGTTTCGAACCTGATGAGTGAAATTATGTTGTCCTACACTTTATTGTTCAGAGCCGATTGAAGGTCGCGAAAATTTTACCAGCGCTCAGAGCGCACAAGAGCGTCGTTAGACAGCGTGGGAAACCGACTTCATGTAGATCCCTGTCTGGACGAACTTTGTGGAAACGATATCTCTGCTAGTGTGCCGGGTGTGCGGGAGACTTACCACCCTGACATCGATTTCCCCGTGCTGAAAGATCGCCTTGGGAAAATACAACTTTTCATGAAAGATATTCAGCCAAATCGTTTCATGGTACTCTGGCGTGACCAGCGAGATTTGAGACTTTAGTATACTATTTGGGCAGTCATAATCTTGACTATTATTAGACTCATTATAACAAGGGTAGTAATACTGGGCTTAGAATCTAGGCAATTCAAATTACAATGATCAACTAGGGCTACAGAAGTCCTTAGCCAACCAACTCCTTCTTGGCTGTTGGTGGCTTAGCTTGACTCTATATACAACTAGTCTGCCAGCCCAGACCGCCTAGGTCTCTGGGGTCAGTTTCAAGAAGCGAAGTCTGTATAACCTCACTTTCCAATATTGCCCAATATTGCCTGCATGTCTTGAAAGATCATGAACAGCCTGCAAAGGTCTTTCGTACGGCCGAAGTGCAAGGCGAACTGCATATTCAGCTAGCACAGAGGTTGCACGTGTAACACTCATCATGTCGGCGGTATCCATGTTTCTAGCAGCCGTTCAAGTCAATTCAGCTCAAATGGCATATGATCTTCAGGTTCAACAGAACGCATAGGACGCTAACTGTCGAGAAATTAATGTATTTGTCGTACTCAGGTGGAGCCTATATATACCGTTAGACTGTCGGCACGTCTAACGGTGTCGTTTTTGAGCGCAGCAGTATTAATTGTCATAGCCCTTTCGTTTGTTAGAGGGGCAATCAATCTCTTGTCTACGCATAGGGATAATTTGTTGCAATTAAGCGAAGTTAACGATCTACCAAGTCTGAGAAGCAATCCCATTCTTGGTCATCTTATGATGCTACTAGGTGCATTCCTGTTTGCTCCAATTCTGTCATTGCTTTTAATGCAGCTGTTCGGTATGTTGCAGAATCTGCAGAGCGCCCCTGGCGCTCCCATATCTTCGAAATCTGCCACTTTACCCGTGCTGATTCACCCCTGATTCCCCCGGCGAGGTTCATTGAACTGGGTAATTATCAAAGCTTACCTTAGATACCCCAATGCTTGTTAATCATTTTCTGCGTGACTTCTTTCTCTGTGCAGACAGACGAGTGCCTGATGATAAAGTGCTGATGCAACACTTTGGTGGGTTGGTTTCCCAGGGCACTGGAGATCATAAGCGAGTTGTAAGTACAATGCCCGGACAGATAAATCCGTGCACTCTAATTTTAGACCCAGTATGCCAATACCACCACTTTAAACCTTCTTATACGTTCATTGAAGAATAGACTACTTGCCGTACGCCGCGCACGTGAATGGTACACATCATATTAAAGAGCAGAAGCTGTAGAGTTTACTAGTATTTTTTATACAATCTTTATTTCAATAGTTCTGGTTTATGAAGCTATACATAAAGGGGTTAGTAGGTGGTAGTGGTGGTGGTGGTGGGCCTAAAATCAGAGTGCACGGATTCATCTGTCCGGTGGGTGTATCTCATCGCAAGGCCGAGATCGCCCTCATGAATAGCTATCTTCCCCAATATATATGCGGTTCTGGAGTTTATTAGCAATAGATCTCAATTTTACGCGAGCTGGACAACGTTTACTCTGTGGAAATGACTATCAGGGCCGTAAACCTTTGTTGGGATAGTTTAGGTGTCTTGTCGACGTACTCTATTGCCTTCTTACTCGCAAATAATCTAAATAATCGAAGCCTAACCGCACTATAAGCATCTGCTAGCTCTGGGCCTGTCGTTGTAGGGTCCTTCTCTCAGATTTCAAGAGATTAGAGGAAGCAGTTGTAGGCACTCTGATATCGGCGGTGGTCAATAGTCGCAACGCTTTCACACAGGTAAGGGTATAATAGCGAAGATTTTTGGTCGCATGAATCTGCTGCCTTTCTTCCGAGCTTATACCCTAGGACTAGAGAGCATGTCTCGCCACAGAACCTGTTACACTCCGAATTTAGTACCCTAATCTATGGAGCGCCTCAAATTCGAACTCATTAGGAAAGCACGCAAGAGGGAAAATGTATGTATAAAAACCACCACCATAATTGATAACATTTAATACTGTATGCTTATAGGGTGGAATCTCGCACGGTGGTGAGTGAACATTCTTGGGGAAAAAAAGGGGGGGACAAAAGGCAAAACGAGCAAAACGTACAACACCGAGGATTCGCTGGTCGTCACCGACTTATCTAAGGGGGAGCGAACGGGACCTCGAGTTCTCCAGTGGCTATGGTCGTACGTGGCAAAACCAACGCTATTTTTGACCTATAAGTGATTATTCGGAAGACAGATGGAAGATGGTGGGCACTGAGAAGGCCGGTCGGAGCTAGGTCCCGCGACGAATCAGCGTGCATCGGGATAGGGACCGAATCTTAATTCCCTGCTACATAGGAGTTATTTACATACTGGAGTGTTTATGAGAGTATACCAACCTCCTAGGATGAGTCCTGGCCTAGGTAGGTATTAACAGATCACGGCGAGGAAGTGGCTATACCCTAGTGGATTCCCATGTCAACTAATACATAGTATGTTTTCTCTCCTCAACAGCATCAATATTATCTATTGTCAATATTATCCATTGTTGGCATCATAAGCAACTACTATTGTTCAGAACAGCGCCTTCGTTCTTGGCTCCTACCTACCCCTTTCTGCCCCTTTCTGCCCCCTCCTGCAATTACTAGTAGCGCATGTAGGTGACTGGCAGGTCCAAGTCATTAGTTCTGCAACCATCAAAGCTTGACAATTGTGCCCCGGGCAGAGTGGGTCCACGAAGAAACGTCCGGTTTACCCATTGAGAGGCGAGGTCTGATAAAAACCGTCACACTTCATAGGTGGTATAAGTATTATGGGGGTGCCAGTTTTTTGTCAGATTGCCTCGCCTCTCAATGGGTAAACCGGACGTTTCTTCGTGGACCCACTCTACCCGGTGTTAAAAGTTTTGGTCTTGACTTGTGTTCCTTAGTTCCACGTGGCACCCTGGTCTACAAAACGGGGATTGACTGATATATACCAATGGCGGGAATGGCCCTATTTCCCCAGGAAAGCAATCATCTAATAAATTTGGTGTCCTAACTATATGCAGTATTCGATCGACAGTTGCTACTAGGCGGTCCTTATGATGGATGGAGTGAAAGATGGAGTGAAGGGAAACCCCTCACTTCGTAGCAGGCGACTTCGCAGATCTTGACTCAAGTGACGTATTTGCATGCGCATACTTACATCTCTACGACTTTTCTCCCTGTATATATGCCAGGCTTCCCGTTGACCTTTCGAGTGCCAAATCAATTTCACTCCAGATAAAAAGAAATACATATTTACTAGAAGAGATTTTATTTATGTCTTGCGGTATGGGTATTTCTTGGGATTATCAGTACGAAGCTAACAGGTACGATGAATTGACGGTACCAATGCCCACGATGCTAGGGTATAGCTTTGACTGTGGACTGAACCTCACTGACGTATGCCGAGGCCCTTAGTACCGAGCATTGAGCACGACAGACACGGCTGACCGTTGATCCAGGAGTTCGATCCTTGTTGTTCCGTCTCACCCTTCTCAAGCAGTAGCTCAAGCCAAGCCGTCGCCAACTGTGGTAATGACTTGCCTGTGGAGTTTTACCGACTTCAGACTGCCTATTTCAGAGCTCAACTTGCCTTGTCTCACGAAGCACAGCAGAAGGCCGAGATTCAAGTCCAGGCTCTGCAGCCCGCGCTCAGTTTTGATAACTCCCGTTATACTGGGTTCCCGTTTGGTGCATCTAAACTTCCAGAGTGGGATTGTCCTGCGACTCGTCTCGCACCCTGTCCTGATGAGATCAGTCAAGATTGGGGACAATCCGCGCAACTGATTCCCCAACCACTCGCTTCAATGAATGAGCCCATCATGAACACGAAGAGTCCAGCCAGCAGAAAAACAGGCAACGAGACTCCCGAACGCTCCAAGTCCATACAGAAAAAGCGTGGTCTGGATGGTGTGCCGCTCTATACCCCGGGAGGGTGTGACGCAGAAGCTGCTGTCCTGGAGCTACAGAATATGGAAAATGGGTTCAGGGCCGAGACATCACGGCGAATCGCCCAGGCGAGCTCCAGTCAGATGAAACGATAATCCTCTTCGTCGGCAGCCTATATTTTCATCATGAACAGCCCCTTGGAGGTTTCGCTATGCGACGATCTGCATTCAACACTTGTACCAGTGTTGGGTTAGCAGGATGACGCTAGCAGTACGACGCTGGCACCCTACTTCCACTTCAGCCAGCACTCACCTTAGAGTAACCTTCTAGATAGTAACAACTTCACTCAACCAGATAGTCAATTCAGGTCTCTGCGTATTACACACAGAATTCAACACTCTGCTTCATTGCAACGTGTTAGGCTGTCTTGGGTGCCACCACAACCAGGCTACGTGACAGGCATCAACACTACGAATACCACCAGAAAGCTTACAGACTCATGTATAGTAAGAACTGAGATGATGGCAGGCGAGGAAAATTGTAAAAGGCTATTGATGTCAACAGGTGCATCGTATAGTATTGTAAGAACCAGGCAGAGGAGCGACATTTGGCTGAGAAAAATTCGATAGACCAAGGGTGCTGGTTCTTGTCCATCATTTTCACTCAGAAGGATTCTGACACGATGGGGGTTTGCCATGATATCGGAAGTAATCGTGACACCGAAGGAGCCTATCAGAAATTTAATTAAATGGTCATCACCACAAGTTACAGTAGGCCGGTAGTGTATCAATCATCCCCATCTTAGAAAAGAAGCATATGAAGAACTGCACGAAGTTCCAGAGCTTACTCTGATACTATTCTGAGCTCTCAGGAGCTCAGCAGCACATACTTACATGATGTCGACGAAGGAGCATAATATCCGCCAGCCAATCACTGCCTTTTCAACGAAACCGCCTCAATGACAACCGCGAAAAAGCGGCCAACATAATTGGTGTATGTTTGGCCATCTGGAATTGCAAGGCTCCTCAACTCTTCAACTTATGTGCACTTTACGGACGCGTTGAATTTCAAACTTCAGCCTTCATTTAGCCTTGACGATTTAAACTTCCAGCTTCGAGCTTCGAAGCACAGATAACAAAATTTAAATACTGTTGATTTTCTATGACTGGGAGTGTTCTTACTTTTTGTAGGTGGGCAGATACCGACAACTGAGACTATGATGATGACAACTCGTTTCTACGAGGATTCTGATGGCGATCAAAACTGTAACCGTTGTGTAGTCTTGCATGTCAAGCATGTTGCAATATCAAGTCGTCATAGATCTCTCTAAGATGTCACTATATAGAGACTCGTCCCCCATTGCCAGCCTAAATTCTTTATTAAATCACCAAGTCTAATATCAACTTTGACTAGACGCGCAAGACAGAAGCTGGAAGCTAAATATCCAAGATGAGTAGCAACTCTAATGCTATGGATCCACATCAGCACCCTTTGAAGGCGACTGCTGCCGCAATAAGTGCTTCAACTCAGGGAGGTAGCCTTTTCCCCTGGTAGCATGGTACCCGGCATTGGAGACTCACCCGACCCGTTGCTGCAATTCCACATGTTCTTCTACCGAGACGCACAATATCACCGCATTGGTATCAATCTTCACCAGGTCCCAGTTAATTGTCCTTTTATGGCTCAAAGTTTTGCTTCTCTCAATTTTGATGGTCAGATGAGGGTTGATGCCAACTATGCCGGCAACAAACAATACGCGCCCAACAGCTTCGCACATAAGTTTCGTCCCGACGCAGCCGAGACGCCGTACGTCGTCAACGATAACATTGTGAGCCGGAAGAGCCATTACTGGCATGAAGGAAAGAAGAGTGAATATGATCAGGTCCGTGAGCTGTTCACCAGGGTGATGAAAGAGGGTGAGAGACAAAACACCATTCGTAACATCGGTAAATACTTGACTATTTGCAAGTATCGGGAGATTCAGGCCTGTTTGTGTTGCTGATTGTGCTAAATCCCCAATAGAAAAAGTATATGGCACAGCAATACAACGTATCTCCAGAACTCGCGCAAGGGGCCTATGATCTACTAAAGAACCCGCATTTTAAGATGAATGAGGTAGAGAAGCTTGCCGAGACAGCCCAGGAATGGTACAAGGAGAAGAAATTCATGCCCAGCACTGGCGAAAAAATGGTAGGATAGGCCCCCACCATGCCCATTTACAACTTCTAAAACGGCTGTGCTGAACGAATTCATTTCACTAAAGGAACTCCCCAGTGTCGTTAAACAGGGGATAGGCTCGATCTTATGCCCATTAAGTATTATGACTAAGCTATTAATTTGTATACTCTTGAGCTCATTCTGGGAGCATCGAATATACTATGCTAAATGCGGAAAATGGTCTAGTGCTGTTCTATAGAGGAATCATATACGCAAACTGGTAACTTTGAACTTTTTCCGACCATAATCAGTTACTCCACCCCCACAGATACGACGGGATTATTTTCTAGGTTATTGTGTAAAACAGATGGTCCGTTGACCTAGAGACAGAGGCATCTTCGGAGATGGTTAGGAGCAACGATAGCGAGTACACATACGAAGTACGTAATCCAACCCTCCGCAATCCCAGTTCTTGACGAAACGGGAGGGGTGGATCACGGGAGCACCCAAATTCATTGACTCTCGTCGTTTTCCTTGGTATCAATATCAGTATGAGTTGGAGCTAGTGGTGAGATTTTCGACAAGGATCTACTAGACTGCCTTTTTGGTAAGCACACCGAGCACGCACATGGTAATGTCTTAGCCTAGTGCTGATTGTCAACACATAGCGCAAGAATCATGGCCAGTAACGCTTCGTTCCGATCTGTGACATGTCTTACAAACGTACTTGGCTACATCCGGATTTATCGGAGACATATGATTGGCTTTGGTCAGCGCTGAACCACGAGGCGCTCAAGAGGCTGAAGTCTGACGTACGGTGACCACTCAGATAGCTAACACCCGTGACATATCGGATGAGGGTGGGAGACCTCACATACATAACGAGCGAGTTGTGGACCTGAGGTATCCGGATCCCTCGGCAACAAAATCGAAAGATGAATGACTAAAGAAACTTCTAGCTCCCGACCGAAGTATTGTATAGCAATGGTCCCATGGAGTTTTTGTGTTAATTCACGCCAAAGGATGCTAGAAAATAAGGGAATGGCGAATTTGGTCTGATACTAACTCGACAAGTGCTAGAGCTTAAATCTCCATTACCTTAGTTGTATGTCTGCAACAGGAATGTCTTCCAAGGTTCCCATTATTACACCAGAGTGATGCTACCGGCTGGAGCAAGATGGTTAGTATATTCATTCTTACTCATAATGGCGCTCCACCCGCGTGGTCTTCGTGGAAGGTGTCTCAGTTAAGGCCTTAGTAGGACTCGTCTGTACCAAAATGCGTCACCTATCCTAATACTGTCTCACATCATAGTCAATAGTAGGAAATAGAGAGACACTATCCTAGGCATATCGGATGCGAATATTATTTGAATGGAAACTTATATATCGAAAAGCTAGTAGAGTAAATACATTTGGAAAGCTAAGATCCACGACCATTGACATTGCTGATTAGTCAGAAGGACGCGGATAGGTCTGAGAGCAGCGTATAAAATATACATAGCAAATCTTCTAGAATTATGAATTCAAATAGGGGCGATTCGGAAGATGCAGTCCTTCATTCATTACTACTTGCCACATTAAGCGTTCTGGGAATATATTACCTGACTCTACCGAACTCGGAAAATACTCAACTGGAGAAAGACGTATCCAAGAAAAAAAAAAAAAAACTCAGGACTATCCCTCATGAACACGATATATACACAAAACGTATCGAAAAGACAATGGGGCACTATTAGATCATTGTGTCAACAGATTTTTAAATATCCTTTGAGCCGGCCGCACAAGCTCGTGATCATGACCAAGCAGGGAAGTATAACTTCATGTGGTACTAGACCCAAAACAACGTGAGCAGGTAAAATCCACAAGATGTTACTGGTCCATGGTTGAGCGCAAGGATAAGAGCTGACAACCGTTCGTGATGTCTAGATGCTCATCTGATGTGAGCCACCATAACTGTGGAATGGGGGGATACGCCTAGTTGGGAACAAGACCTGTGGCGACTACAGCGGCTCATTTTCCGGATTTGACCAACACCACCAAGATTGTCGCCCCAAGAATTTTCTTGAGGATCGACCCAACATGATGCAGTACGCCCGCCCATGGATTCCGAAACCCAGCTAGCCAGATATAGAGGCGCAGTATCCCAGGGCCCGGTAGGCTTATCAACAAAACTAGCCGACCATACTATCGATGTCCACGGTTTTGGGGAAGTGGCTGGCGCAAGCGGCGGGCCATGATTCAGCATATAGTATAAAAGGATGCGCCTGAAGAATCACACCTGTCTACGAAACCAATTCTCTCTGTATCATTATCAGAGTCAATAAGGTCTCCTCTACAGCTTAAAACAATGAAACTCTTCCGCTTTCCAAGGCTATCTATAGCATGGCTCTTCAAACGATTGCTGAAAAGCAGTAACAAAGTGTCGCAGATATCCAATTCAACACGGCAGCCTCAGACTGTGAAAACGAAACCCCCACTGAAACCGGTCATCATCTTGATCCATGGCGCCTGGCATCTCCCAGGTGTCTGGAGAAAAGTAAAGCAGCGATTAGAAGCAGCCGGGTACGAAGTGTATACACCGAGACTGCTCACAGTGGTTGGGCCTGACCCAGTAGACTACTCGTGGCGCGTCGATGTGGCGGTGGTTCATGACATCGTCCTTCCCCTTTTCGACCAAGGCCGTCAAGCCGTCGTCGTAGGCCACTCCTACGGTGGCGTCGTTGCCACGGCATCAGTCGAGGGCCAGAGCGTCGCCGACCGACAATCTCGCGGCCTCAATGGGGGGTTTAGCGCTGTGGTGTACATCTGCGCATTCCCAATAGCCAAACGCGGGCTCTCTCTCCTATCGACGAATGGTGGAGATTACGATGAATGGATGGTCAAGGCTGATAAGAGGGTCAGTATATCCCGAAATTTGCATATATTTCCATTCATATTGACTGTATACTCATAGATACCCTGTTCAATGAAAGTCGTGCCGGGGGCTGCGGAGTTATATTACAGTGACTTGCCTTCGGACGAAGCGAACGAGTTACTGGCAGATGTTGAAACAAACTATCAGTCGCAGCGATCGTTCGAAGAGCCCTTGGGGTTCTGCGCCAATGACATCAGGATCCCCATGACATACCTGCTGTGTGAGGGAGATAAAGCTGTCCCAGTGGAAATTCAAGAGAAGATGGTAGCGGATATACCGAAAATGAAAACCCGACGCTGTACGGCGGGACACAGCCCCTTTTTAAGCCAGCCGGACTTTACCACTGAGGTAATTGTTGAGGCTGCCCAGAATGCACAATAACGGATGTATCAATGGGCTTGTTATATTGCCTGTAGATGAAGAGGTACCGACACGTTCTTTTCACCAATCTCCTATAGGGCTGGGCTCTTTCAATCTCATGAAAATGGCTGTGTATAACCGTGCAGCTCCGATGCACAACTCATAGCTCTGCTAGATAATGATCATCTCGCGAATAAGGCTCTCGACACCCTCTGAACTAAGAAGCGCCAACAGTGAAATGCAAGTTAACCCCGAGCTTGGTAATCGCGGTTAACATGAAGTGATCCGGATATTTGGGATGGCGACTGCAGCTCATGGCTTCGTAATACGGGTAGATGTGCATTGCATGGCGCCAGACATAGGCGAATATGCGGTCAGGGCGATCACGAACCCAATGGCCTGGGTATACCATGGGGATTGTGCAGTTGTCCCAATAATACGATCAGCCACAGATTTCCGGAAATGTCCTACCTATCTATAGACAGTGTACGCCACGGTGTTCGTTGGGGGGGATGCGGATGCGAGTAGTTGGAGCGGGCCAATCGAGCAGATTGTGATGTTGCACGAACCCCTCACCCACCAACGGAATTGAATGATGGGCGCAGATAGTCGAGATGCATTAGTTGCTTCTGCCGCCCCCTCCAATTGTATTTGGCTGCCGTCATTTCTTCGTCTACTTCGTAGAGCGCTGGGAGACCTGCTTTTAGTTCTTGCATAGGACTCTGCGCCCTCCACCTGTGATACTACAGCGCCCTCCCGGGTTTCTGCAAGAAGCATAGAGAACTTGGAATTATAAGAGATACCTACTCTCCATCCTCACAGTGAGAGAGCCTATACTGTTCATATGGCCTACTAAAGAGAGGGTTAGCTACAGTCATCTGTCGCAATTAACTCCTTACGTACTACTCACCGGATACTGTTATATCGGTTGTTGTGACTACTAATTGGACTTGTCGTTGCTTCAGGATCGCCTTCAATGCTGTTTAATTGATGTCATATGCACGTGTACCATCGCTCTTTATTATTATTTATTTTTAATAGAAAGAACGGTAGTTAAAATTCCAAGCGAAGAACAGCATTGATTTGCATGTTGTTGTAATTACTGGTAAGAGACAGCATTATCCGAAGCTATCTGAGTAGGTAGGCAGAGACTCTCCACATCACAATGTCCTCAGTGCTGACACGGAGCTCTGTTCCAGATCACGTATCTAGGCAACACGTCGGTCAAGGCAAGATTTAATATGTTTCCACAACATTATCGTGATATTTATTCGATGTCTGTGTCAGGTATCTTTTACTAATTGTATATGGGTATATGCCTAGGTTAGGTATGTAGTTATATATCACAAAATCGATAGATAACTCATTTAAGAACTCGTTTAAGTGCCTAAACAGGAGGCAAAGATGAAACACATGGCAGCCCCGCAGCGGGTGTTACAGATCTATTAGTGAGCCTGTTAGTGAGGTGCTAGTGAGGTGCTAGTGCAAGCTACCCCGCCAATCTTCCGTCACCTCCCTCTGGATCACCCTCCGTCAGCTTTCCCCCTCTTAGACACGGTCCTGGTCTTTATCCCCCATCTTTTAATAAACAGCTTCACACGCCTTGCACCATCAGAACTAGTTGTGAACAGCAGATTCAGGGTCGCAATTATCTCACAAATTTGCGACTTACCCATCCAGCTCGCTCACCTCCGCCCAATCCCCATTCCTCCTACGTCGCATCACGACACCACGATGGTAGACAGACCCAACAAGCCCGCTGCCCTGGCCACCACGCCGGGCCTGCCACCTCAGCCACAGGTCAACATTTCACATGCCAACTCGCGCGTCTCGGCCGTTCTCCCCACCGGCGAAAGCGTTGAAGTGCTTCTTTTCGGTGCCACTGTTATCAGCTGGAAGGACCGCGCCGGAAACGAGAAGCTGTGGCTCTCTGATGCTGCCAAGCTCGACGGATCCAAGGCCGTGAGAGGCGGGATTCCTCTCGTCTTCCCTGTAAGTAAGGAGAGGGGTAAGACATGTGAGAAGGGGCTGGCGCGCGCGAATTAAACCATCTGCAAAAAAGCCTCAGCTAACCAATGCCATTTCTTGCGTCGAATCAGGTCTTCGGCACTGCTCCTGACCATGCCGCCACCTCCAAACTTCCCCAACACGGCTTTGCGCGCAACTCGAAATGGGAATTCCTCGGCAAGTCGTCTTCTGAGTCAGCATCGACCACAAGTCACTCCGATGCCTCCGTCAAGCTAGACTTCGGTCTTTCATCCGCAACACTCGACGAGAAGACGAAAGGACTGTGGCCCTATACTTTCTCCGCCATCTATAGCGTAACCCTGACGCCAGAAGGCTTGAGCACCGGTATTGTCATTACGAATGATGGAAAAGAGCCCTTCGAATGTCAGGTCTTGTTGCACACATATCTGAGAATCAATGTAGGTCCAAGTCGCCATAGAGTGACACTAGTATGAGCACCGCATAAGCATTGTGTATACTAACACCCTGTTCATCCGTTCAGGATATCACAAAGGTCCAAGTTACCGGCCTTGAGGACTCGGAGTATATCGACAAGGTAGGTGGCGTCCAGACAAAGTCACAGTCCGGTGCTGTCACGATCACTGGCGAGACCGACCGCGTCTATACCCCTGCCAAAGGCCCATCATCGCCCGTCATCGTGACGGAAGGTGGCTCAACTGCTTTCAGTGTTGTACGCGACAACTTGAAGGATGTTGTAGTGTGGAACCCCTGGACAGAGAAGGCAGCTGGTATGGGCGATTTCGAGCCCAAGGACGGCTTCAAGAACATGATCTGCGTTGAAGCTGGCTCAGTGCGTGGCTGGACGGCACTGGAGACTGGGGATGCTTTCGAGGGCGCGCAGACGCTCTCGTATTAGCTACAAGAAAGAGCTGCTCGATTAGCGAGGACAGATAAATTGTGAGAAACCGCGGGAGAAAGTATGAAACCCACCGAAGTAGGAAGTGTATGACAGAGATCACTCACCTTGATACAAGGACTTTTGGAACCAGCGATGAAACGGTCTACTTTACTTACATGTCTTCTTCTGCCTGCGTAACACATCTCGCGATGGGTTTATAGAGCAATTACAAGCCAGCCAGCAAATCTGTTAGTTAGGACACCTCTACAAACATAGTACTAAATACTCGCCCCCATTGTTGATTCCTTGAAATCCGAATGGAGATGCATGGGACAAGGTACCATTACGCGAACCAAGCTCACTGCTTCTCATCCAGTGACACCGGCACGATGCGAGTAAGAAGTGAATACGCGTTCTCAACCAGTATCCAACTTAACTCCCAGTCCGCTATTTTCCCACCAGCACCAGAAGCATTATCTCCACCCCTCCTTCCTTTTCTCTTCCCCCGCCGCTTGCCTTCTTTTTCTTCTTCTAGCTTCTGCGTTTCTCTTAGAGAGAGATGGAAGACGTTGTGATGTCCGCAACGTGCGCATAGCGCCGTGTACGACCATTTGTCGTAGTCCCGACATGCGCAATCTTTGGCGCTGCACGCGTGGATCTCGGCTACTTGGCCCTTGCGTCGGCCTGTTATCGCCCGGTGCCTGAGCGCTGCGTAGGTCCCGCTGTCCCAGTTTGTGTAGTGCCGCAGCAGACGCGATAGACCCTCTGCGCCGGCGGATTCAGAGTGCGATGTTCGCGGGTGGCCGCAGCTGCAGAGGGGCGGCTTGGAGTCGTCGGGGGTTTGAGTTGGAATTGCTTCGTCGAAGTCGCTGCACGTGCATTCGCTTGTTGAGCATGGCGCGATCTGGGTAAGTCGTGTTTTCAAACCTGGGGATGAAGGTGATTCTCCGCTGCTCTCTTCTGTTGCATTACTGCTACTCCTTGGTTTCTCTTTCTGGTGCCCTGAGCAGACCCCCTGTGAGGTCGAGACTGGGAATTCTCTTGTGGTGTCCACGCGTCTTAACTTGGCGTAATACTCCTCTAGCACCCGCGCGCAGAGCACGAGGGCCGCGCTCTCGCGCGGCGCATTGATATTCTGGAGAATTATGCGCTGCCGTTCTGGCAGAGGGACGGGCTCATCGCGGGTGCATTCGTCCTCGCTTGTATATGGCGTGAAGTAGAAGTCTGAGAACTGCCGTATGCGGTCTAGAAATGGGCGGCCGTCACATGATACTATGGCGAGATTTGCGAGGACCTCGATTATTGCATTTTCTTCGTGAGCTGGATTTCCCCGTGTGCTTTCAGTATCCTGTCCACTTTTCTCCGTTCTGAGTTTCGTATCTGGCGCTATACTCTGGTACTCATTGGTCGATTCTGATGAAGACGGCGCGTAGGATGTTGTTGAGGGTGTTGACAGGGAATCAGATGCTGAGGGCCACAATAGTGGTAAGACTGCTCTTGCGCCCTGCAACACTTCCCGTAGAGAAGCATCTTGGCTGTCTTCGTACGAAGGAGGCGCCAAATTGCTATCTACGTTTGCTTGCGCCTCATTCCTGGCGCCAGCGCGCCAGCGGAAGAGAAACATGATTCCAGTATTCCTATACCACTCTATGCTTGGTAGCAGCAGTACGCGAAATGAGTCTGACAAATAACCTCCTTATGACAGAGTTACTAACTCATTCACTCATTGTTATAGCGATTCGCGCAACGCATATCTTTGAGAAGGGAGAACAGTGCTTATTATATCGCTGTCAAGACAGGTACCCCACATTGCTTCGTTGTGTTCCATGGTGTCTCGGTGTCGTAGAAGTCATAGCGTGCTCATCCATGGCACCGAAAGGTGGGTGCTGCCAAGTTGATTGACCAAGTGGCGCCGAGCGACGAACAAGCGATAGTAACGGCAGCCCGGAGTGGGTGGTCAGCCAAAACCCGTTCAAGAATGCATTCTGAGAAAATAGTGTTAGTGATGGTACCAAATCTATACTTATTCGATTAGTCCAAGACGCGGTTTCTGTAATAAAATAGCCCAGACTTAATGAATACAGCTGGTTACAAGGCCATCGCTTCGTTTCCCATTCTTGACCTGTTAGCCCAAGGTTGAAATCATGAACGCCTTAGGCCAAGTGCGGCTGAGTCTTGGGGTTCGAAGCTAGACAAGCGTCCGGCTTAAACCGAGATGGCTTTGTGAGACTTCAGCTGCTAGTCTAGTCTTCCACAAATCACCCCCCTTGCCACTCCGCCGCGCGAACCCTACCTACGCTGCAGAAACAAGCTCTTACTACAGATAGATAATACTCGGATTCAGACGAGGCTGGAAACGAGCCTTAAGATGACCCCAACTAACTCGAGGGCGTTCTTGATGACGATGATGAGGATATATCTGAGTCAAGCCCGGAGCTGGTGTGAACTTGGCCCGCGTTGGGCTCAGTGATCCATTATGCTTTGTTTAACATTTAATAGTCGGATTTGTGTCAAGGTAATACTGAGTGCTCAAATTTATCTTGTAAGCATTTGTACGTTCGATCTCTTCTAGGTTTAATGCGAATTATACTGGGTTAATTTAGCTATTCTACTAGATCGAAAGGAAGGGAGAGCTCGAACACCAATAGTTGTTGTCATGTTCCTACGGCAACAAAGAAATTATCCGTATATAGCTTTACCCCAGGCACGAAGGCTTCTCGCTAGGAAATTATCCTACAAACCCCAAGGTTGCAATCAAGATCTCCCAGTTTACCGAGGCAGTCAAAGGCCCGTTCCTGTAATCTGTCGGGTAGCGAATATTGATCTGTCAGGACCCGAAGCATCGTCGCATAAAGCATCATCAATAATCATTTCCGATCTCACATGCCGTCACTACTCTTCGACAGTCTTTGTGACTAGCCTACCTTGTATGGCTCCTGGCGTAATGACAGCCTAACTTCTTCTAGCCAGCAGGCTTCAAAGGGCTCTCTTGTGTCCATTGAGTTCCCGCTCACGGTACTCCATGAATCTTTGAAATACGGCGTCGGTCGCTTCATCTTTAAGGACCATAAGCGGGTGCGTATCATCAAGGGACAGTTCTGTGGATGACCACGATTCCCACGATATGTCGTCACTGTCATCATTGGCAGCTAATTCGTCCTGATTCACAACACCTTTCATTTCATTATCGTTTTTCAGACTATGTTGGCCAGATACCTCGATATTTCCTGTACTGTAGCGTCCGAGTTCTTGAAGGGGCGTTGCGTAATCCTGCCCTCGTCCACTGTCTCGTTCATCAAACGTTGAAGAGTCACTCTTGGGATGCCGTATGCAATGGTCCCATTTGCGATAAGCCCTCTGATAGTGGCAATGAAGTGGATGAAATAGCATCCCCTGCAAGTCTGCCCAACTTACGATGGTATATTTCATAATCAGAGCCCTAGCTCTCATTCGAAGGGTGTCAGGGATCTTTTTACTTTGTACTATTGGGAAATCGTTGGTATACCAGGAGTTACATTCCTCGATTGATTCTTACACCAGTATAAAGTTATATATAAGCTTATTTAACTTAAATTCATCTAAGGCATAGGGTAAGGAATATTGAAAAGAACATGACAGGTCCATTCAAGCTCGTCAGGGAACCTATTATATAAATCATTAATATATAGTTAAATATAGCTTGTCTCGAAGTTAGACCAACGTCTGGCTTAAGGCAAGATACCTTTTTAAGGCTTTAGCTACCAGTCATCCACACATATCCCTGCTATTCGTGGAGCAAGTGTTCGAAGACAGGATCACAACATACAACTAGCCATCGCTATCGAAAACATCCTGAAACTCTCAACAAGCCATTTGGAAATTTAAAGAACAGTGGCCTTTTTTTCTTTGTCAATGACTCATTACTCGCCTTTGTCGTCAGAACAGATGAACCTGATGCTTCAAAGAGCTTGTTGTAAACTACATACAAAAGCAATGTTCGTATCTTATCTACGATATAACTACAGTATACACCTCGCCTGCCGGTTTTAGCTTCCCGCGGACGAAACCCGTATAACGTGATTTGAAAATGTGTATCGAACATTACCACGAGGTATTTTGCCCCAAGTGCCTGCAGAATGTCGGCACAGGCTTCACAGGCACGCGTACCTACTGTAAGTACTTCTATGAGTACAACATCTGCTATGTTGAAGAATACCAGCTATGCAAAGAAGCTCGGTCTGTAGCGCCGCCGTACTCCCCCTTCGGAGAAGAACTTTACCATCATAAATGCATCCCGCAGTGTCATCGTAGATCCCTTAGGTGGAGATGGCGCGATCTAGTTACTAGGTTGTGCCGAAAGCTAGGCATTCAAGTCTGCGAACAATAGGGTCATAACTTTACCGTTCTTATCTAATTGTATCCTCGTAGGGGAGTGTATCAGCGTCGGTTGTTTAAACTAATCGGTACTCTTTAGTTTTATTGTATTCTTTGTTTTGGAGTTATGCGACGAATTCGACATTAGGACAATGGTAGGGGCGAAACGAAGTGATTCTTAACATTTCAATAGATTCCTTCATTTTACAATTTGATTGATAAATTCCAAACATCCAATGCCACAGCAGTAGCTGTGAGCGTAGTAGCATACCCGACTAAGATTCCCATGCCAACTGCCGGTCCTACATCCAACGTGGGCACTGTCATATTAACAAGTCCGGTCGCCAGATTCGCAAGAAGGAAAAGAGCCAAGCCGTTCCGGTTGTAAGCTCGTAGCACTGTGCTTGTGGCTGCATAGTACGCTTCTTGTTCAGATTTGGAATCGGTGGAATGATGAAAGGCCGGGAAAAATACAGTCTCTACAAAACAGAAGCCCAATAGCTGCGCCGAATTGTAGGCAGCAACCCATAGAATATAAGGCAAGTTGGCCAAGCGTCGAGAAACGTCCAAACCTGCGCCATATTTAAAATGGGTTGCGAAGAAATACAATGTGGTACATGCAGCAGCCCAGATACCCATCCGTATTAAGAGAGTAGTTCGCTGAGTGGCATTGTTCGCGTTGTGACTTGAAATCAAGTTTCTCGGCAAGATAAACATTCCCATATCTTGCCCAGCTAGAAAGATGGCCAGGTAGCCCACGAGACTGCAAACGCCCTCTCTGTTCATAGAGAGAAGATCTGTCCGGGGCGCAGTAAGAATAAAGGCTTTAAGAGACGTACACTCAAGGAGAATCTGGTATACGAGGCCTAGAAATATAGCTAGAGAGGCGTAGGATGGCATCACCTTGAGCACAGACTGGGAGATAGCGACAAACGGAGGAAGGAAGCCAAGAGTAAAGAAAAAGTTCCAATGAACACCATACTCAGTCACATGCTCGGCATAGTCAAGCCCCTTGACGGTAATGAGGCGCACTACACCTAGGACAAGAAGCGGCAAAGAGTGCCGCATTGAGTGGATAAGACGCTGAGATAGCGGGGTGGTTCGGTTTTCGGCTCTTTCTTTCAGCAACGGCCGAGCAGCCACAATGCCAGCCGAGAAGACAAACGACCCGACACCCAAATCCATCATAGACGTGCCCCAGGTCTCAACCTTGGCAAAACGCCGTGGAAATAGCCTGAAATCAACGGCCAGTATAGCAAGACACGTCAAGACTAGCAACGAACCCCTGTATGTTGTCAAGAATGGCTTTGTAGAGAGGGCTGTTAGAGAGCTAGAAGGCCTGCTCTGGCCTTGCGCAGCTGGTGGAAGCTTAGGCTTTTTCCTTTTTGCGATGACTGGGTTCGGGGGGAGAGCATAAACAAAGATTGCCGGTACAACGAACAGACCACATAGCAACAAAGGCGTATCGGCATAAAGGGTCATGGCGAGTAAAGGGGCAAGAACGTTGAGAAAGAGGTCGACGAGGAAACTCAGGGGTTTGTATGGCTTGAAGAAGGATTGTCGCGACTGGAGGACGGACCATAGCACGAATGCGACCTGCGATTCTTGCGAGTTAGCTCAATGCATAGCTGCAGCTGGTACAAGAGGCTCCGCTTACAGGCCCAGCAGCTGTCACATAGTTAATCTCAGATATTGAGCCTCCTGAGAGGTTAGACACAAAATCCTCCTTCAACTGCTTGTAACTCGTGTTGCTGGCAGCCATTGCGAATGTGGTGGCGTGAAGTTAAGGAAGAGGATTTCTCATTGATAAGCAGCAGACCAGAGCATCGCGGCCAGCGCGACAGAGCCGAAAGCAAGTCGAAACGCGTAGGAATCGATCTGAACACGACCCAATCTTGCGAAATCTGACATGTGTTGTCGAGGAGAGCTTGGGAATTTGGGATGGTGGGATGATTCAGTCAAGCACATTTTAGATGGACAGGGGAAGGACAGATCGCGGAAGGATGCAGCCAGTGACGCTTGGCGCTGGAGCTAGGTACCTGGGTAAGGGTCTGGTCCACCACTAAAGCCAGTAAAGCCCAGGAACTGGACCCTGAATCAGACGTCCCCTGTACAGACGGGACGACAACATAACTGCTTTCTTTCTTTCTTTAGTCTTTGCTCATGTCTATCAAACGTTGCAGCGCTCATTCATCGATATTCGTGAGATTGACTACGCCAGTAAGACCGTACATGCTTTTCAGCTATGCATGTGAAATGTCTCGAAAGGGTCACCTATGATGAGTTAGCCAGCCCTCACAATAGTCCAAACCACCTCGTCGATTATGCAAGTTCCATGCAGATAGAAACTTATTCGGTTTGGCGAGCTGCTTTTCGACGACGTCAATCGATTTCCTAGGCTTGACAAAGGCCTCTCATGTAGTGTCGGGGATAATTCAGTGACAAAAGCCGCAAAATCTGTCAGCCACTGACCAAGGAGGCGAGTTGAAAGTCCGAGCCACTTGATTACCTTCCAGGTCCAGTTGGATCCTCAGTTCTTTCACTCAACACGGCACGCCACACCCATGAAAGATATGCCTTTGTCAGCAAGTCTCAGATGTCTCACGAGAATTCCTCACATCCTCGTGCCTTTCACATTTTCTGGCGGTACGGGCCGCGAGTGAGTCAAAACATCTTGGCGTTGGGACTTGTACCTAGACCTCGGGATGCCTTGATGTTCTTTGACTCAACTGGTACCCCCTTGTCTTTTGGCCTACCCATGATAAGCACTCTCAAAAGCTCCCATCATGTTTGTAATCGCTTTTGAAAGCCTTAATATCATTTGGCCCGGCGTTATGTGGGAGACCTATTTCTGATTCTACACCCACCCACCCACACGCTTAAGCAATACCCCAACATTCGCTGAGACCAGAGCAAGAAACGACATCTATATACAATACGACACTCTTCTCCCTTTTTGCTTTTTCCGATGACAACTCATGTGAACGCATCGGGGCGGCCTACTCTCGCACCCCTATGGACCAACTCTAAGGGCCTCGGCCAACGGCCGACAGCGGCTTTCCGCGCCGCTCAAGGTCCATTGCTGTCACCATCGCCCATGTCTGCAGCCACAGTTGCTAGTCCCGTGTACCCAATCTCTTTTGATAAAGCCTTGCGGAGGAAAGACCGAGCTCTTCTTGATAGTCTCAATCACAAGACCAGCCCCTTGAGTGCATCAAGTCCTAAATCGCTTCCGTCAAGCGACGGACAGTCGCCCTTAGTTTCCAAGCTCGAGCACGCCAGCATACATCTCACAACTTCTGGAGAAGCCCAGTCACCTAAGTCTCCAGAAGGTGTACAAGATATATTGCTGACAACGAAAGAGTCCCGTCAGTTTAGCGCACAGGAAGACCATGGCAACATAAGAACATCTGATGTCTTTGTTATCGCACGTTCCATACGCCGCAATAGCACTTCTGCTGCTGAGGACTCGGGCCCTTTCTGGGAAGCAGAATCATCTAGCGCAAAGACTTCACATCGACTCACGCTGAGGGCTATTGTCCGTCCTAAGAGCCCCAGGAGACAGACTTTTCTTATTCAACGGAATCTTGATATTGATGAACTACGGGCAACGGCTTCCGCCAGCATTGCAGAGAAAGGTTTTCCAAACTCGTCGCCGCTCAAAGCTAATCGTAAACCCTTACCGGTTCCCTCAAAGTGGTCGTCAATTAGCAAAGATCCAAGAACAGTACGCACTGCTGACTCTTTCATCCCACGTTGATGTTGCTTATTTGAAAAACTCTCTTGACCGTTGATACAACACAGGAATTTAATATTTTGTAGGCACTATCCTCTTCACATGCCGAGACACACTCGAGGAACGCGTCGCATTCTATCGACTACGATAAACTGATCGGTGATTCAAAGACGGTCCCCATTCGTATGTTTTCGCATTGCCAATCGTTTCATATGTCACCGCCTATCACCGTTTTATCAACTTTAAGTCCCACACTTCTTTCTATTAGCTTCAGTACAATATACCGCCAGCTATAAATTACACAAGCTAACTTGCTACTATAGATACTCATTACACGATATCTGCTCTCCCCGCGCTTGCCATATTGCTCACCTCCGGTCATATTCAGAATGGAGACGTCATTTATCTTCCCGTACCTCACGCGGAATCATGGCCGCAGACTGTTCGCTATATTTATACGGGTCGGGGTGAATTGACAACTAGCATGCGTGAAAACATTCTCTACCTAGGTGGACGAGTCTAGTACGACGGAAGAATATACATTTAATCAAGTAACTAACGTAGTATAGGTTGGGGAGGAGTTATAGGGTATGTCAAAATATAAATGAGTTCAACAAAGACAGCATACCCAAGCATCTATGACTAACGTTACTGTACACGACTTCTACTATTTGTGAAGCATCCCCGACTACGAACCATCAATAAAGGATCTTCATCAGTGTCCCAGACGCGTTTCAATATCTACCATAACATAACTAACTTCCACCCTTCTCGATGTCTAGCGCACCTAAAAACTATTCAATTGTGTTGATGTATCATATACAATAACAGCTAGCGCAATCACTATGAAGTTTAGTGAGGATCGCAAGCAGTTACTGCCATGTGTGTATAAAGACCCCTGAGAATATCAGTTGATCTCACTATTCTAATTCACATTATACTATATTTCCTAAGATATTAGTATATTAAAACCACAAACTCTGTGGATATGTTACATTAGATAGTCGATCATGTCCTTAGAGATATGTATGATGTTATGTATTAGTACCTAACCCGGGTTAGAAAGGATGCAGAAATGTGAACGCACATGTTGTCGAGCTTTTCCAACTCCCATAGTATCTAACCCACTAACACCCGCTCGAGAGATTAATGAGATCTATGTCGACAACATGATGGTATCTAGTCTCTCCTCAGTTTCTTGTAGGAGCCCTGTTCCCTACTTTATTAAGTGATGATAGCTAGGTCAGCAGCGCCAACTCCCTTCATTGTCCAGCATTTCCTTCTCGACGCCATCTCTCTCAACTAGTCACATAGCTAAAAGATTATGCAAAACTAATACCGCGATGTGATGTGGTGTAGCCTTGCTAGGCTGAAGATAGCTAAGAACATAACAGTCCGTAGGGAAGACTTGTCTCAGACGTGGGCGGGGATAGTAGTCTATAGGCATTTATGATTGCATCTGAGGGGCTGAGTGTAGCGAAGCTCATACAAATCCTTCTCTGACTAGATTCCTGATCCAAAGATTACCTAAATTTGGATACTAGTGATAAGTGCAAGGTCGTAACGACCTTCCCCAGATCATTTCTTTCTTGGCAGCGATGCCCCAAAGCTTATTTCAACCGCCATCACAGGGTCGGTCACTAGAAATATTGCTTAGCATTCTTGGCCGCAAGTCTTCTGTGGAACTTAGAGTGAAAGAGAGGTGTATGAGTACAGCAATCCCCGGACTCTTGGTCTCCAAAGACCGATAAGACTGCCTTTCAATGTGACCTTCTCTAGCCCGGGACCACTCAAGGGCCGTGTATATTCTGCGACCATGCTATAAAGCTAGCCGTGTATATCGATTACACTCACATTGGGATGTTGTAAGAGCAAGTGCATCAGCCTGAAGATTCCATCGGGTCTCATACCGGAAACAGCTAAAGACAGCGCTCTTTCAGCTACCTTGGTTCCAACACGTGATAAGCGCAAGCAGATCGAATGCATTTTCTTGGTAGGTGAATTTATTTTACGCCATACGCTGACTGAAATTGAAGTGAAGAGGAGGGGGGCTGCGGGAGCTCCCGATGATACCGCTCAAAGCGGCGAACAAAGAGATCATCACCATCATGTCTCGGGGCCCGACGAGTTGACCGGTCCCCGTGAATCGCGGACTTTTGGGATTATCCTGTCGTCTATAAAAGGTCGAGTCAAAGCATGGAGATGTTGGTCCTGTCCGTATGCTCGTTGCACTGGATAGAACCTTTATTAGTACTGCCCTGAAATTCTTATAGCTTGCTCTATCAGCCCTACCTTGCCCATCATGAAGACTACCATCTTAGCTGCTGCCGTTATCTTTGCTACTAGTGCTTTCGCTGCCCCGGGCACTGCTGCTCGCTGGTCTAATCAGTAAGATAACATAACCCTTCTTTTACAGGGCTGAGGTGTGACACTTGGAGTGTAAAACCCCTTTCTGGGGGTGTCATGCCGCAAAAGTTGTCTCCATCATAGTCTTGATATAACCAACCTTATTCTTGATCTAGATAGCTAATACCAATTATTGCAGTGCCTCTCGCCGAGCTCAGCGCAAGTCAGGTTTCATGCAGCCCGCCAAAGACAACGACATTCTTGCCAAGGTAAACGAAACTGACAAGGACGTCATATACTCTGACAACTGGGCTGGTGCCATAGTATGTAATTTTTTAAAATAAGCGAGATTCATACCTTAACCTCATCGACTCTCACAGCCTACAAAGGGGCTATGAAGAGGACGTTTGGAAAGAAAAGAAGAAGAATCAAGATAAGACTAACACACTCTGAAACACTTAGCTGAACTCCTCCGGCTTCACCTCCGTCGTCGGCACTATCATCGTTCCCGAGCCCCAATCTACAGGCGAGGATGCCTCTGCTTCAGCATGGGTCGGAATCGACGGCCTCACGTGCTCAACGGCGATTCTCCAGACCGGCATTGACTTTTCCGTCACTTCAGGCGGCTCTGTCTCGTACACCGCCTGGTACGAGTGGTACCCAGACGACTCGTACGAGTTCTCCGAGTTCTCCGTCAGTGCGGGCGACGAGGTGAAGATGACAGTGGTATGTCAACGGGCCCGGCCTCAAATCAAAATGAGATGAACATCCCTAGTAACACATAAACTACTTCAGGTAGCCACTTCCAAGGCCGCCGGCACGGCGACGCTCGAGAACCTGACGACGGGCCAGACCGCCTCGCACTCGTTCAGAAACGAGCGGAACCAGCTATGCGAGTCCGAGGCGGAGTGGATCGTCGAGGACTATGAGTACCACGGCGCGCTCGTGACGTTCGCGAACTTCGACTCGGTCACCTTCACGGACGCAACGGCTTTCAAGGGCGACTCCGCCGTTGACCTCGCGGACGCGACCATTCTCAACATTGAACAAGACAACGCGGTGCTGACGGACTGCAGCACTGACAGTGTTAGTACCGTCACTTGCTCTTATGTCTAGGTTTGGCTTGGGATGCTGCAGAATGATCACATACAATATAAGTAGATGAGAGGGTATGTCACGTGCTGGGTGAGATGGAATCGGACTTTTAGATATTAGAATCAGTTTTGAAATCTCTCGATATCTATCTGCCTTGTGTCGTTGATAAAGGTAGACTATATATATATATATGCATTCACCCTTTGATTGTTGATATATATACATAATGATAGTTTGGCTACTGCTTTATCACGGTACCTGGGTGATCCTTGCTATCGGACTTTGAATCGAAGATGGAGGCAACTAGATAGAGTTTGAAATGAAATTCGCTAAAGTCTTCTAGTAACGGTATTCATATCAGTTTTCAGAAACTTCGATTAATAAAGGCGGGGACACGGCCGGATGTAAACCCTAGCAAAAATGCAAGTTTCCATTGCTTTACCCTTCGAACTCCTTGCCAATGCTTGCTGTCCTCACTAGGCTGTATGATACAGTAACATAAAGACCCATTGAATTTACCCATCCTTTGCGCATTCCATAGTCATGATCTTCCTATATATACTAATGCTCAGTTCACCTTACCGCCGACTCCTTGCCTCGGCCGCATACAACTCGTTCTTTATGTCCATGAACATAGATTCAATCTTGTATACATCTTCGCGAGATATCGTCGCTGATCGCAGTCCATCAAGCCCGTCTCTTAGTGAAGCTGCAATCTTCTCCACGACTGATAGCTCGACTTGAGCCAATGTATCGTTTTCTCTGTTTGATGGTTTGGCTTCCAATCTGTTGTCCTCCATTTCTCTGCCACGATGGGCCGCAGCATCAACATCACTTGAACTAGTAGACTCTGGGGAACTGGCCTCAATAAATTGTGAATGGCCATCCGCCTCAGATTGTTGCGACGCTTCTGTAATCAATTGGAGATTCACAGCCGCGGTATCTGAATCCGTTCCGTCGTCATCTAAATCCAACGGCGCTATATATTCCGAATCGTCAGGGTTGTAAGACAAATCAGGCGAACCTTGCGAATACGCGGTTGAGCCAATTTCCTCCCTCTCGATATTCTCACCCGCCTCCGTTGGCAGAGATTCTGTTGGCTGTTGATGGTCAACCAGTGGCGCTTGACTATCCATTATTAGATCGGTATCGTCTCCGTTCGCTTGTAAATGCTTGCGTTTCTTGCCGCTGTTGTGTTGTTTCCTATCAGAAGTCCGTTTCCGCTTCCTAAATCGCTTCTCTGACGATTGAGAGTTATCGGATTTGGCAAGGGTAACTGTTATGGGAGGTATTGATGGATTACTTGGATTTTGGCTCTGTTGCGGTTGACCCTGGTCGGATTTTGTGTGAACAGTAATGCACTCCACCATGTCTTTGATTGTGTGAATCTTTTCAGGAGAAGCCGCCTCATAGGTAGGGAGAGGCTCACACTTTCTAGAGTCAAGTTCGATAACGAGGCGGGCCATACTGCGCTCTTCACCATCACTCATTTCGAATGAGCGGTCTTTATACACATTTTCATCATCCTCGGGAAGGTCTACCTGTGCCGTGGCGTTTTCACGAGTCGGCAATTCTGTGGCTGGGAGGCTTATTGGTGCATCAACAAACATCTCTGCATCTGACCTTGGTGCTCCTTGAACTTTTGCCGCGTTGGGAATGACGGGAATCTCTGAAGGTTGGATCATTGGTAAGCACACAGGCCTATCTTTAATCGTCGTACATTCGCGGTCCGCAGGATATAGCTCAGGTTCGTTTATCGCAGAGTCTTGCATACTAGAATCCATATGCTGACTTGAGATAGATTCTGCACTTAAACTTAGAACATACTCTTGTAGCTCTGCCTGCTCATTTTGATACAAGAAGACCTTTTTAGAAACCGGTGAACCAGAAACTGGCGACGACGATATTGGCATGTCGTCTAGCATACGAGTATCTCGTGAATGCAATTTCATTTCAGGCAATAGATTCCGCCGAGGCTCTGGTGGTGATGAAGGAATATCATCCGTCATTTCATGATCTTCCTCGATCATTATGTGTTGACCACGCCGAGGTGTTGGAGTTGAAGATAGATATTCGTTGCTACGAGTGGCTCTAGGAGTTGCAGAGTGATCAACTATAGGCGGCTGCGCCAGGTCAGAGCGTTGCGGAGAAACCTCAGTAGAAGTGAAAGTTGGGAGATTTTCAACTTTCTCAATGCTCGATTGGATGATTGGGAATAATGCTGCATTCTCAAGCTGGCGTTCACGAATTTCCTTCTGCCGGTCAGTTAGGACTTGGGACTCTACTGGTCGCGTTGAAGGGGAAGATTCTTCAATATGAGCGAATTGGATCTGTGAATCCTCGTGGCGTGGTTTTGTTATCCTGTTTCGCGTGCTTGATCTGGTTGATCTGATGGATCTGGTAGATCTGGCAGATTTAGAGGACCCATTAAGTAGATCATCCGACTTATTATGATTAGATAGCGAGATCTGCTTCGATCGAGGAGTTTCCAGATTTCTAGGCGATACAGAATCGTTCAAAATAGGGTTCACTTTCATGATCTTGCTTGTGGTCATGACATCAAAGTCATCCTGCGAATCCAAAAACATTGGTGTGTAGTCGTTGGTTTCGCAGGTCGAATTGTCCAATCCAGGAAGCGTGATCTCAACATATGATCGCAGGGAAAGTAACACATTCTTCAATGTTGCAGGGTAGTCCACTTCTGAAGCGCTGTCAAAACTCCGATTCCATAAAAGCACGGCATTATTGACGATATGTCTATGCTTCGACCTGAATGCACAGCAAAGTAGTGGCTCAATGGCATCGAGCTGAAAATGCTCTAGCATAGCATCTGAGAAGAGACTGCAAATTCGTTCCCATGATGATTTGACCTGGGCTCGTTAGTAACAATGAAAGATAAGAAGGGGCACATTCGATACATACAGCCTCGGCTATTATCGAGCGCTGCTTGCTGCTATATCGCTCATCGACATCCTGAATCCATGGTCCTAATCCATGCTGTAATTGAACGAGAGACTTGAAGACAAGAGTCCTATTAGCTCTTAACAAGTAATGAGACGTCTCGGTAATCAGGGTCGCAAGGTCATTTGCGTCGAGCTTATCCACAGTGGTGTAGCCTGCCTCGAGGAGGCGGGAGACAAGTCGGTAAAGGCTATCGAATGGATCAAATGAAGCCGACCTAGGGCCAGCTACGGTTGTACCCCACAAGCGTCGCCTAGCCGCATCAAGTGCCTGTCGATCCCGAGGTAGTTTTGCATTGCATATTAGCTGAACACCACACTTATATACATCAGGGGTGATCAAGCTTGTCTCCGTAGGCAAAGCTTGCAAGGTAGCTTTAGCCAGTGGCTCGATGACTGCAACGGAGCAACCAGCTTCACCGCTGAGTTCTGTGGCTTGCTCGACTGCGAAGTGAAATAGCGATAGCCATTGGGCCCATGGTAGATTCGGTGCATAGTTGATTCCCTTTTCAAGATGCCTCACTATGTCTCTAAATTCATTTCCAATTGGAGGCTGGCTAGTAGAATCGGAGGAGTTGCTAGACTGGCTGTTGCCACTTGGTGTTGATAGAGCCTCTGCGATGAAGGCCCAAGGGCCGTGAGTGACAGGATCACCCAGTGGTGGGATTTGCATTAATTCATGAGCCAAATCTGACCTTCCTCGAGGCGATCGCGTGAGCATAAACGGCTCGAAAATAGTTTTGAACAAATTGATGAGATCTTCCCCATCAGAAATACCGGGTGGTAGTGACGAAAGTATTGAGAAGAGGTGATGAAGTGGTGATCGAGTAGGTCCATGTCCTTTCCGAGAACGATGTGAAGGCGTCGCTATTGGGACTAGAGTGTTTTGCTCACTCATTGAGAGGGGCTTCTCCGTGAAGGGTAGGTGGCCGAGTGAGAGAACCAAGGTAGTGAGATAAGACTCTGTCGCTTTCAAGAATGGCTGCTGCATATCCGCAGGCGTCCTTGCTTCCCCAAGACCGGTGGTCCAGATTCGCATCAACAGGCTCAATGCACTACCTAAAAACGCTACTGTATCTACCGATACCTTGACTTCCTTAGAAGCGGCAGCAGCAACAGCGCTAACGAGAGACTTCCACAATCTTGACGAACTGGAGTCGAAATTGGCAAGCTCCAGAAACGATTTGCTAAGGAGAGGTTGCACAATTGTAAAAACTCGAGTGGTGTTTCGTCTGATCCATTTGGGATCTAATGGAGGTAACTCGGTAGCTTTCGCTACTGTACTCTCTGCGATACGATCTTCTTTCCAGATCCGCACGCTGGAAGAGTCGAAGAGGCCGGCCAGGATATTGGCAGCTTGTGACAGATTATAAGTGGAAAATGCTTGTTGCTTTTCTGCTGGTTTTCCGTCAACCTCAGGAAATGCCAAAGTGCGGAGCAATGTCTGAACACAGGCATCCCAGTACTGGCCGACATGCATAGAGCTGGAATTAGGCTTGAAAGCATAGTAGTAAAGATTACAGAGCCCCCCAATAACGACCTTCCGAAACTCATCAGATTGTCTGCCTCTTTTCAACTGGGTGAAGGGCTGACACAGTGTATTGATCGTCTTGGAAAAGGACGGTTCATGCAGATGTAGCACATAGACAAGGCGGTTCCATGCAAAATGTGCCTCCAACCTGGTCTGGTAATCACTGCTGTTGAAACAACGCTGTATGATCTTCAGCCATTGGTCAAAAAATTCCCAGCGGTCAATCGGGCACCTTAATAACAAGACAATTACGCTCCAGATTTGAGGCACAGCAGCCATTTCCGACCTCTCCTTCGACATGGTGGAGAGCCGTTGAATATAGTACTCAATGTATCGAGTTTCATCAACAGACATTTGCAAAACCTCCATGACTTTCTTTGGCAATTGCTTTTCCTTCGCAGCCGTAAAGCTGGCGTCTAATCCGAGGGCTATCGCGGCGGAGCGAATCTCTTTCATGCTACTTAGCATATCTGTGAACAGGTCCAGGAGCCACTCGGAATGAGACACCATATGGATGGTGGACTGCTTGAGTAATCTTCGATATATAAGAATACGAGACATAATAATGCTCTTCCCTTTGATATGATTTTCGATGTTATGGAGCGAAGTAACAAGGCGGCCAACGCGATCGGCTGTCATGACCTTTGGGGGGAAATCCTGGCATACAACTACTTGCATCAAATGTCTAACGACGTCCTTTGGGACTGTGGTGTCCTCGAATGATCTGATGCAATGGTCTATGATAAAGACACCGAAATCGGAGGATACCGCAGTTGCCATAGACGGGAAGTGTAGGAAAGTGCTCAGCAAGGTAAGCGCATGGTTGATGAGTGATGTATCAATCGCTCCATTTTCCGCTTTGGTGGTGATATCGCGCTGGATAAATTGGACAAACAAACTCATCTTACTCTGCAAGGCGATACGATCTGGAAGGTTAGTCGAGGTCTTGAGGGCACGCGCCAACATGGTATAGGCGTCAACTTTGTTGTCACGGTCATTGCTGGCCAGGTGCTTGATACTGGACTCTAGCATGGCGGCTAAGGTAATAGTGCTTCCTGCCTCACCGTAACCGGCGGACGGGTCGAGGGGGTTGGGAGGGTTCGGACTAGATGTGGGCTTGAGAATCGATTTTAGCGGTCTCGAGGGACGCATGGACGACGAGGCAGATATAGGCGTGGATCGTTTATGCTCATTCTCCTTCCCCGTCTTTGTGGGGGGATCGCAATATTCGGTATGAACTGTGAACTCGACCCGTTTCCTAGATCGTCTCGAGCTGGCGTTGGTCGAAAGCGCGGAGCCCGGCGAATGGCTTGGAGGGGTTTGTAGAGTAGGGCGCGAGGAAAGGAGGCGCTGGTTCAGGTTTGATTTTGAATCAAGGTCGCTTTGACGTTCTCGGGGTGGTGTTGGCGGTCTTGCCAGTAATGCATCGAGGCCTGCTGATGGCGGCGCTACTGGCGATACCATGGCTGCAAGTCAACCGCCGCACGACTTGCCTGCCCACCACGCTGAGTCTGGTGAGACAGCTCAGATGTCATGAGTTGGTCGCCGCTGTGTCGGCAAAGGCAAAGCCGGGCAACGATGCAACCGCTAGTTGACCAACATGGGGTTTGACCTCTAGGAATGAAAGCGAAAATAAAACGAACTAGGGATAAAAGCAGAAACACAGGGACGAAGACCAGATTGAGATGTCTTGGTACGCCGGCCTACAGTGAAATGACGACCAGAAGAATAGGCGAAGCTGGCTGAGAGTTGGCGATGAAGAGATTTGGCCAAGAGAATAGATAGGTATTGTAGCTTGACATAGACACCAAACCCTCCAATGCCAGTGATACTATCTGACTAAAGGCAATTGGGATGCCGGGTAGCGCATCTGACAAAACTGGGGAGGAGGCGCGATAGTGGGCCAGAACCCCTGTAAACGCGGTAAAACAGTCTCGACAGTCAAAGGGTTCGCGACGGAACGCGCTTTAGTGGGTCCGGTGCTTAAGTGGTTTTTTTTCCCGGGGGCGCAAACCGGGCGCAAACTGTGCCTGCCGTAGCCTACCTTAGCAGACCTTAGGTACTTAAGTACGTACTGAGGGTGGTATTAGGTAGCTGGTAAGATCAGTGTCCGTGCGTTTTCCGTCTCGCTGCGAGCAATGACATGAACATGAGGAGATTATCAACCTATTAGAAGTCCTACATCCCCAATGCAACACATTTAACGCACACCACTAGCTACACGTACTCCCCTGGGTGTGTGCTGATGGTTGAGATCCTCGCCTCAGCTTTTGCTTGCCTATCTTGTTCTCCGGCACCGCCGTCTACCGTTCAACTTGGGACTATTCGGGTACATGGCTAGGGATTCCCCCTGATACTTGCCAACCAGCGTAGAGAGTGACCGGTCCACGGGCAGCTTAAGCGCAGCTCTCTTCATGTAAGTCCACTAGTGATCTTCTCATCACTCTCTGCAATGTCAACTTCAATCAATCAAGTAAATCACTACCCCCTTTTTATCATGAGCCAGTTCACTACTTAGAGTGGCCATCCAAGTGTATTACATACCTTATATCAACGTGCCTATTACAATACAGTCCGTCCAGTCTACCGCCTAGTGCGTTGCCTGACTTTGCCCAACGTTTTTCATGCATTTGCATAAACCTCCAGCGTTATCCTTTCCCTCCTCTCCTTTTCAACTATTCGCTCACTCGATGCTTCTTACATCATCGGTAACTCGGCTCACATGGCTACATAGTTTAGCCTGCGCCTCCAAGAGTCCTCCTGACTATCTTCTCAACATTCAGCAGCCGGCACAGTTGACGAATAAACAGTGAAACTTCCACCATGTCTAGCAGCTCTCAGCTATATCGGGCAGCTATGTTGTCAGGGCCAGGTCAGCCACATTGTAATCCCCTCAACCAAGCTTGTTGACGAACAAGATTCCAGAAAAACTGGCTGCCGCAACTAGTCTCGTCAATAAATTAACGCAAGACCTTAGCTCAAGCACACTACTTTCCCATCGTAAGCTATATTTTCATAGGTATTTCTTTGCAGCTATCTGACTCTTTAACTTTCGATCTTTAGAGAGAGATGCGGCTTTGGAAGAGCTTAAAATATATGGTCGAGACCCTCGGAATGCCGACCCAATATTCACGAAAGATGTAAAGTTGAGCCTTGTGAGATGATAGGTTCTACACTAACTAGCTGAAGGGTATCGAGATGCTCACCCGACATGCTTTCGATAGCTCCTCCAGTACAACTTCGAGGAACGCTTTACGCTGTTTATGCAATGCTCTTTATCTTAAAGCAGAAACTCGGCAGTTTTTTGTAGACCTAGGCTACGAGGCCAAAGTCTGCAATAAACTAAAGAACGATAGTCCTGACGACGAGTTCCTTGTCTCAAGGCTGTTACTCCTTACCACTTATGACACTGACATAAAGCTAGAGCGACTGATTGACGAGTATCAACTTGCTGATTCCATGACGAAGCACCTAGAACGCCACGCTGAACAGTTAAACGACGAAAAGCCAACCACAGACCCTATGCACATTATGGCTCTCACGGAAACTGTCAAGCTCCTATTCAATATCACCTTCCACTGTAAAGAGAAGGCTTCATCATTGACCCAGGCCATCCCACATATCGTCACCTTGCTGTGCAAAGGCTTATACCAAGTTAGCAAACCGTTGGATCCGCCAATAGGTCCCTTAGTGAATGCTCTCATCAATTTGGACTTGGGCGCGAAGGACGTCCAGTCATCTCTCTGCCCATCAACCAAACCCACCATCTTATCAGATCGTCTAATTAGCCTACTTAATCAATCAAAGACAGCATATCAAGACGAGGAACTTGAAAACGCTGTAGCACCCCTCCTTGCGGCAATACGAGTGTTGTACGCCCACGCCCCGCAAGATGTGCAGGTTTCCATTCGGCAAAAGCTCTTACCCACAGAAGACGACAGGAATGAAGTCCTGGGAAGTAGTTCCTCACTACCTTCCTGGCTTCTCAAGAACTCAACCAACGCCATGGCGCCTAAGCTTCGAGAGACGATCCCCATCTTATTGTTTGACCTTTCAGACAAGGATGCCTCCAAGTTTATCGAGAATGTTGGATATGGGTTTGCCTCGGGGTTTCTCTTCAATCAGAACATTCCTATTCCTGAAAATGCTTCCAAGGCCATCCGCGGCGATGCAGGTAGTTCTGAGAGGCCAATCAACCCAGTGACTGGGCAGTTTCTGGATTCTGAGAGACACGCTGATGTGCCTGAGATGACTGATGCTGAGAAAGAAAGAGAAGCTGAGAAATTATTCGTACTTTTTCAACGGTAAGCCCGCAGTATTCTACCTACGTGTTTGGAAATTTTAATCTAAACTTGGTACAGGTTGCAAGCAAATGGTGTGATCTCTGTTGAAAACCCGATCCGGACTGCCGTAGAGCAGGGACGCTTTGAAGAACTACCAGACGATTATCAGGAAGATGTTGATTAAGGAATCATTACTCTCTCAGACATCATGATTAGGATTCAACAACTGCTGGCTAGGGAGCGGTGTTCTGGTATGTGAGCATCATTCACGGATATATGGAGTCGTATGGATGTGAACCAGCACCACCTACAGAAACGATCTGTTAGAGTCGATTCAGATAATCTAGAGTCCAAGTTGTAGCGTGTAGGCCTAAAAGCTAGAGCTCCGCTATCAATAAGTGATCCACGCAATATAAGTTATAAATACGTGTATTATCGATGGTTAGCCTTGTATGGCCTCCGTTATCCCCTAGGACCAGTATATGTATAACAAGGGCAGTAGATACTGGGCTTGGAACTGAGAATTCAGATTACAATGATCAACTAGGGATGCATAAGTCCTTAGCCAACCAACTCCTTCTTGGCTGTTGGTGGCTTGACTTGACTATATACAACTGGTCTGCCAGCCCAGACCGCCTAGGTCTCTGGGGTCTGTTTCAAGAAGCGAAGTCTGTATAACCTCACTTTCCAATATTGCCTGCATGTCTTGAAAGATCATGAACAGCCTGCAATGGTCCTTCGTACAGCCGGAGTGCAAGGCGAACTGCATATTCAGCTGGCACAGAGGTTGCACATGTAACAAATATATGGATTCTACACTGCGTCTTCTTTCCCCTCAGATGTAGCTGCTAGCATGGAAAATCATCTCTGCTACATGCATAGCCCCTTCATTCTTCGAGCACCGTAGGTGGTAGCTATGCACTTGGTAATAGTGTAGTATTTTTTATGAGTATTATGGGAGCTTCATTCATTGTTAAAGTGGACTGGTATCTTAGTATCTTTACACACAGTAGGGAGTATTTTAGGCCAATGAAGAATACCAGAGGACCAAAGTTATATTTACATCTTAATACAGATTCAATTAGAGGATACTTGGCGGCTAAAGATGATAGAAGAGCCACCAAGCTCTTAAAAATTGCAACAAGCTTCCTCAAAGGGACGACTTTGATCTTCTAATAAGCGGCATATCTATACACCTGGTTAGACATTGCACAAGCAATTCAGATATCTCGCTTTGCAAACGCCACGGTGTAGTGGACATAGAGATCTCGGTCACGTTCTTCCGCCTCCTATTGTATCCTTCAAAATTATGTTCTAAATATAGATGAAGGTAACGGGTGTGCACCTCAATTACCTATATACCGTCCCGATCCCTACCCAGTCCAATACATCTCAACAAGACCCCCAGTTAAAAGATTGCTCCCTCCAGATATTTATGAGGTTCAGTTCATGGATACAACGATACATTATCCACTATTAGATAATAGATTAATTCTTTATCGAAGGACAAGCATTTGAACTTATTTAAATATTTACTTGCGCTTATTAGGAGGTACCTACAGTACTTGCCTTAGTCACCTACGCAGTACCTACCCAGCGCAGCACTACATAGTACTTACCATATGTCCCAATCTAGATCTACCTAAGTACATATAGCAATATGTACACGCTTACTATTCACCTAGGCATATAGCATTTTTCTGAATCATTCAAGTGGGCGTATGCGATGGCAGGGTGATTTTCAACGATTGTTGTAGTGGTTAAAATGCGCCCTGTAGAGCAAACAAAGAAGGACCGCCCTCTGGCGTTACAATAGTAGTTAAGTACCTCTACGTACCTGCCTTCTAAGTTTTGATCAGCCGCGTTGACCATGCGCAAGATACTTAGGTACACAACTACCAACTCGACAAGCAATCACTGACCATCGTGCCATCCCAATTCAACCTTTAACACATATGGATCTGAAATTCACCTACTCGGGTACCAAATCTCGCTTTTCCACATACAGTCTTCGATGGCAACACTGTCTAACATATCATCTATCCGACGATATTGTTAGCTGTGACTGAGTCACATTGACTGCATCACAAGGTATGCTTATCCCCATCTCCTGTACAGCTCTAACCGCGTCCTTCTTGATCTTGTTCATTCGAGAACAGGTTAAACTACATATCAACCCCTCCTCACGCAATATACTTGTTTCCATATCAACTACCCTTTCGAACATGTGAGCGGATTCTACAACTGACTGCCAGCCAGGCAAACGCCGTGCATCCGTGCCTAGCAGGAATACGTACCAGATTCCTGAGAGTCTGTGTATTTACCTCAGAGCTAATATCACAAAAACCTGTCTAAAGCATTCTGCCAACGTTAGGGGCTGCGGTATGGCGTCCTCGTCGTCTGATGGCAAGCAGGGCGCTCAGGATACCAACAATGATGGTGACGAAATTCCTAATATCCAATCCGAGTAGGTTATCCATCCCCTTTCCTTCCCGCTCTATTCAATATGATCCAGAGCACTCAGCCCTGGGTAGTCAGAATCTTACTGATGCCATTGTCTAGCGTTTATCAGGGTAAGAACAAATCTGTCAATATAAAAACTACCCAAGTACTGATGCAACTGAAGAGAAAGGAAAATCCAAATTCCGACCACTTGTCTCCCGCGCCAAGAAAAGCGTTGTTCGCATTCTGCCTATCGACGAGGTTGCGAGCGAGAGTGATCGCGACAACAAAGGGGATATTTCCGATGAAGATAAAGCTAACGATAGAGACGTTGATTCCTCTAATAAAGACGACAAAACCACTGCGGCACGACGACGTAAGTCTTCTGGGAGAGCAGAGATACATGATAGGAGAATTCATCAGAAACGTGGTGCATCTAACAAGAGCGTTTCAAGGCCTAACTCGTAAACGCGGCCGCCCAGCGAAACAAGCTTTCGATGAGATGTCAGAGTCAACTTCTGTTCCAAACAGCAAGAAGCAAAACACTGGCATTCGGACAGAGAGCCACCGGAGATCATCTAGGTCTGCATCGGAGTCTGCCACCTCCAAAATTGCAGCGCAAATGGTATGCTTCCTTTGGCCCTCTCTTTTTCATGTCTCGTTCTCTTCCTATTCTCTTCTCTACACATGAGTATATAGTTTTAATAAGAACACGACGCCAGAAGCTAACGTGGGCAACTGGAAAGAAACGACAAAAGATCATCGTAGCAGAAGATGCAAGCAGTCATAAAGGCTCGACCAGTACACGTAAAACGCGATATGAACAGACAAAAAGCAGAAAATTCAAAAGTGGCAGCAACAAGGAATCATCCGATAATAGTACTGAATTTGAGGTCGAGCGTATCCTTGCTAAGAGGAAGAGAGCTGGTATCACAGAGTATCGAATAAGATGGAAGGGATTCAAGAAGAGCGAGAGCACGTGGGAACCAGCCGCCAACCTTACCCATTGTACCGCAGCGCTTCGTCGGTTTGAATCCGACAAGTCTGGATAATCCAGAATTAAGCTTCATGGAGAGAGAGGCCAAGGGAGATTGACTCTATGAAGGATCACTGAATCCTTCCCTTGAAAAATCGGAAGTTGGGAGCGGCGAGGTGGGAACATTTGCATTTCATTCCAGCTAGACCTTGCCCAGTTGTCTATTTGAGAAAGTGGTCATCTTCAATCTGCGCATGTAGTGCTGATTGAGTGCGAAAACAAGGCATGAAAAGTGCAACCTCTAGATGAGTTAATGGCAATCGATGCGACATGGCGATATTTCTTTAGTCCTCCATAGTAACCGTTGAAATATGAAAATTCAAGGCCCCCTCAGGCCCCTTCGCTGGAGGTGAGGTGTAGAATTACCCCACTCTTTGTTACACCTGCTGCGAGCCTTGGCCCTACCTAGGTACTCTATATTACAGTGCAATGCTGTAATCTTACTGTGCTTTTACGCCGGGGAATGAAATGTGTCCATCAGCCTCGCCAGCTACCTTGTCAGCTTGCATTAAAGCAGCTTCTTTTCTTTCAACTTCTGTACGTGTAGGCAACTTTCGGGCTCGCACTAGGGATTTTCAAACAACGCGGGTGTCTGCGATAGCGAATATCATTCGTTTTCACCTTGGCGCGTTGTACCATCTCTTGACTTGGCAATGGAGGCCCTTCGATCAGCTCTGCAGCCACTGCGGCCGCTCACTCACAACTTGCCCGCGCCCATTCGCGATCTCGGCGTATCCATCATCGGCGAGACCTGTTACCAGCGCCTACTTCTCGATCTAGACCCGACCGACTCTGCATGCCTCAAGCTAGCCATATCGAAGGGCCTGGGTATTGGCATCATTGGTGCCTCCTCGATTGTCAAAGTCCCCCAAATCATCAAGCTCGTCAACTCCAAGTCGGCCTCAGGCGTCAGCTTCCTGTCCTATCTACTCGAGACCACGTCGTACCTCATCACCCTCGCCTACAACGTTCGGAATGGATTCCCTTTTAGCACCTACGGCGAGACTGCTCTGATCCTCGGCCAAAATGTCATCATCACCGTCCTCGTTCTTAACTACAGTGGCCGCGCCAGTATGGCTGCACTGCTTGTTGCAGCTCTTGCCGCGAGTGTTGTCACGTTGTTCAGCGGCAATTTGCTCGACATGCAGGCTTTGGGCTATTTGCAGGCCGGTGCCGGCGTGCTAGGTGTTGCAAGCAAGATACCCCAGATTGCTGCTATCTTTCAAGAGGGTGGGACAGGCCAGCTCAGCGCCTTTACGGTAAGTACAACCCGTGCCGATTTCCCATCGCATGTCTAGGTCAGTGGCTTGTTATCATGAATTTCCTAACGCCCTTATTCTGCAGGTCTTCAACTATCTCGCCGGTTCGCTCTCGCGCATCTTTACAACACTGCAGGAGGTGGATGACCAGCTGATCTTGTACGGCTTCATTGCGGGGTTCACGTTGAATTGCGTCTTGGCGATTCAGATGGTGTACTACTGGAACGCGCCTTCTGCCAAGGCTAAGGGAAAGATGAAGGAAGTGCCTCTCTCTGCGCCTGCGCCGAGTTCAGGTGTTTCTTCTTCTGCGTCGCCCAGAAGCAGTAAAGGGCCGACAACACGCCGCAGAGGCTAAGTAACTGTTTTCGTGTTCTGCAAAACTGGTACGCCTGTGAAGGCCATCATAGCGTGTATCTGGATCTTAATATTTTAATATCAATTCACCGTTCTCTTCTCAGTTGTGTTTTATTAGTGTCCTCATCCTGACTGTCACACCAGGCTTGGCAATGCACTAACCTAGACCCCTATTGCTTCTATCTATGTGCTAGGTGCCGAAGGTACCTAATGAAGATAAGTTGTTGTCTTGCAGTGTTGCCATCCTTGAACCTAATTGCACTATCTACCTAGTGTATCATATCGCCGATCACACATGATTACCTACCAGACCAGGCCTTGGCAAGAGTCCTATCTACCGTGACCACCACTATCATTACACTGGTGCCGAGAAGCTTGACTAATGGTATCTGCAACCTGCAAGAAGGAAGGATTAGAACTTTCTGGACACATCACCGGACTTGCCGGTAGATATCTGCATAATCACACACACTACACCTGTCTAGCCTTGGCAAGGTCACACACATTGCCAATACTCGGAGGAGGGAAACGCAGGTAACCTGCCAACCTCATAATTGTCGATGCTTGTACTTCGTAACAGGCTCTATCTGTTAGGCCATCATTTTAATAGACGGGTCAAATATTCAATAGCCCTGACACTAAACAAGTCATCCTGGGTTGAGAGCAGTCTTGGAGCTGATGAACTCTCTCTAACCTCAGTGCTATCTAGTGTCTGCTATCTGCCATCCGTTATCTCGGGTAAGCACAGACTTATCAATCCTTACGTCTTATTCACTGCTGTTGTGTATTATCTGCATTGGATATCCACATTGCTCTCTTCTCAGCGTATCATGGCAAGAAAGATAGCCTAGTCGTAGCGTAGTAATAAGCAGCAAGGCAGACACGTCACTTGTATGCTGATTGGCAGCCCGCATACCGCTCTTCATGACCTAGGACATCCAACCAAACAGAAGTACGCAAAGCAGTCACTGATGAAATTGATTAACAACGATCCTGTGCACGTCTGCTGCGCTTCCAGCTACCGTCGAGAAAGTCATGCGTCACCCTTTGACGTTAGCCCTCTTCCTTTCCCCACAATATGGCTAAACAACAATGATTGCACTAGCTTCCTGGTGAATTGCGTGCTAGAAACCGTCATTGCGAATTGGCTTACGAGCCAATCAGACTATCTCTAGGTGAGGTCAACTCTCACCGTCAACTTACGTTTACTACTATTTCCTTATTCAATGTGCTTTACTTGGAACATAAGTAAGCAAATCCTCATGAGTCGAATGCGAATCCTAGCGTAGGTAGTGATACGCCCGACGAGCAAAGCCTTCTGTCATCAGCCATGATGATGCATGATGTAGCTCACCACAGTACCTATGCATCTATTGACATGCGTTTACCTAATTTGTGACATGCACCCAACTCCCACGGTCTTGGGAGAGTCTCAGTCTCGGAGCGTGGTAGGTTGATCACGCGCTCAGAAGCAGCCAATCTCGAAGAACAACCAACGGTCTAGTTCTGTCCGACGCCGTAAGTACAATGTTCCCTCCCTACTGTGTGTGCATCTTCTAGGCACTGCGGGGCAGGCAAGGAGACCCTGACTTTAAAGCGACGGGAACGGGAACAAAGTGGAAACCTAAGCAACTTGAGTCTGGTCTCTAACCTACTACGTAGACTCTACTAGGTATCTATCGAGACTTATAGTAGGTATGGACTATGGACTATGTAAGTAGTGCATATGTAGTAGTGCACAGTTACCGGACTGAACTGCTCTAGGTTACTACATAGGATGGTTACATGTGGGATCTTGCATGGCACGCCGGGGAATGCTTGCCGACCACATGATCGGACTTTTTGCTTACTTACCATGGTCGTATTACTACATAGTAGTACATAGTAGGTACTATAGGTAGGTCAGAGTAGGGTATACTGATGTGCAGATAGGCAGACTACATCCCTACACAACATGATACGACGACGTACAAAGACACGACTTACACGCCCGCGCCACGCCTTTCCCAACTACCGCTGTGCCTGCAGAACTAGTCATGTTTAGCAGAGTCTAGCAGGGCCTGGCGGGCAGAGAAGACATGCTACATGTATGGATGGATCATCATCATCATCATCATCGAGTTGCAGGTGCTGCTTGCAAGTTGACGATGGTCCCAATCCGGGAGGATGGGCTTCGCAGCAACGCCGGTGATTGGCGGATAGAGCTCAAGACGGCATTTCCAGCTTCGTCCTAGCGCGGGGTAACCCCCTTGCTTGCTGGCTTGCTTACCTGCGCTCGCCACCGTCTCTCTATCTATCTGAAGCGGTGACAATCCGAAATTCGAAAAAAATCGACTATAAGCATGTCGCCATCGCACGACAGCCCGACACCCGCTCTCCGCAAACAACTACAGCACAACACAACACAACAGCACACAACAGATGACAACACGGCGGAGAGTGGGTGAAGTAAGGGTAATGGCCTACCCCTCCACCTGCTCAAGTAGGCAATCTGGGGATTTTGTAGTCTTGCTGTAGGTCTGTCTGTGTCTGTGTCCGTGTCTGTGTATCCAAGTTCCAGTCGGACAAAAGCGTCCTCCCAGCGGCGGACTCGATCCATCCTCCGCAGCTTTCTCTCCTATCACCAAGACGAGACTATACGAAGCAGAGTGCTGCTGGTCCGATCTGATGCTACGTAGTCCCCTGATCTTCTCCCGTGAGTTCCTCTTTGGCCAAACTCCCACTGTCTTCATTTGGCAAGTGGGTAGATAGAGCGGCCATTTTTAGTCCAGCTCTTGGTTCCGATCACACACCACCTCAGTTGGGTATAAGTTAGGCAAGCCCGCCAATTTTTTTGGCCAGCGAGCCTAATTCTCTCCTTTTCTTTGTCTTGAGTCAAGCACACCTCCCTTCTTTTCGAGCATATGACCTCGTCGCCACTACAGCTCGATTCATATATCTAGAAACTACACATCCCCTCCTGTCTCGTCTCCGGCTTGTTCTGCACTCTTACCTAGTCGTATATTTTGCCTCTCTCAATATGGCCCCAGACATCGACTCTATCCCACCCACAGTCAACGGCAATGGCCCGACACCAGCCGCGCCGGGTGAGAAGATGCCCAATATTCTCTTCATCATGGCAGACCAGCTGGCTGCTCCCCAGCTGAAGATGTACAATCCCGAGTCCCAGATCCTCACCCCCAATCTGGATGCACTAGCAGCCAAGTCGGTTCAGTTCGACTCGGCCTACTGCCCCTCGCCCCTTTGTGCCCCTTCTCGCATGAGTCTGATTTCAGGTCAATTACCGATGAAGATTGGAGCCTATGACAACGCATCTCAAATCGGTAGCGATGTGCCCACATACGCCCACTACTTGAGGCTCAAGGGCTACCACACCGCATTAGCTGGCAAGATGCACTTTGTTGGGGACCAGCTGCATGGCTATGAGACCCGTTTGACTAGTGACATCTACCCCGGCGACTTTGGCTGGGCTGTTAATTGGGATGCCCCTGATAGGCGTCTCGAATGGTACCACAATGCTAGCTCCATTCTCCAGGCCGGGACCTGCGTGCGAAGCAACCAATTGGACTACGATGAAGAGGTCATGTACAAGTCGACTCAATTCTTGTACGACCAGGTTCGTGAGGGCCCGGATAACCGGCCATTTTGCCTAACGGTATGTTCCCATCCATCACTTGATCGTGCTCTGTTACTATGAATTGGCGTGACGGCCAGAGGCGGTCTCACTGAAACTCGGTAGAAGTATATCGGCTAACCTTCTCCGGACAGCTATCTCTCACTCACCCTCATGATCCTTACACGATCGAGGAAAAATATTGGGACCTGTATGAGGGTGTAGACATTGCTTTGCCCAAGGTTAAGATTCCACAGGAGCAACAGGATGCGCACAGTAAGAGGTTGCTGAAGGTGTGCGATCTTTGGGATCAGAACTTCAGCGATGACCAGATCAAACGCGCCCGCCGGGCATACTACGGCGCTGTCAGCTACGTGGACGACTGCATTGGACGCATTCTGAAGACGCTTAAGCAATGCCGCCTTGACCAAAACACCATTGTTGTCTTCAGCGGCGACCACGGTGACATGCTTGGAGAACGTGGTCTCTGGTATGATTCTAACCTGGAAGTAGCTGTCGATTTCCCTGCTAACAAGCGTATAGGTATAAAATGAGTTACTTTGAGTCGTCTGTTCGTGTTCCTCTGCTGGTCTCGGATCCCAGCCGTTTTACACCCCGCCGAGTCAAGGAGAACGTGTCGACGCTGGATATTCTTCCTACTCTCTGTGACATTGTTGGTACCCCACTCATTCCAGGCTTACCAATGGATGGTACCTCTCTGTTACCCCATCTCGAAGGCAGACCCGGCCATGACACTGTGATTGCTGAATACACGGGCGAGGGCACCATCAACCCTCTTATGATGATCCGACGCGGCCCTTGGAAGTACATCACGTGCCCGACGGATGCGCCGCAACTCTTCAACCTGGAGAAAGACCCACTTGAGCTGGTGAACCTGGCCGAGCTAGCAAACAAGACCGAAGGGCTGACAGCCGACGAGGAGGAAGCTAAGGCCAAGTTTGAGAAATTCGAGGCTGAAGCCCAGGCGCGTTGGGATTTCGAGGCCATCACGCAGTCCGTTCTTCTGTCTCAGAGAACTCGAAGACTTGTGTGGGATGCCTTGAAGGTCGGCAAATTTGATCCTTGGGACTACAACCCGAATGACAATGGCACCAACAAGTACATCCGCTCCTTCCTGCCGCTTGACGATCTTGAGCGTCGGGCTCGCTATCCTCCCGTCGATAAGCACGGACGAGAAACACGAGATATTGTGGTCGACCAAGCGGGGTCACACGGTGAATAAGTCGTCATTCACTTGATTCACGCAAGTTTGCCATTAAGCACCAGGATTGATTCTGGCTGACAGCTTGTCCAAAATGGAAGGTCGGGCTTGTCATGTCGACTTGCACCCAAAAAAAAATCTTAAAAAAAAAGAAATCTCTGCATTTCCATTGACCTCTATTGAAGCGACATTAGCGAGGCGAGTTATGGAAATTCATGTTAGAAACCGTTTTGGCTTCGACCTTTTTATTTATATCCGTCTTGCGGAAGAGATACCATCTGTCCTTACATTTAATACCTGTGGTGTTTTGCAGCATGCCTCTAGGATCATTGCAATGGTGCTTCTGTTACTGGATTTTTAAAAAAAAGCTGGGTAGGATAGCTAATAGGTAGCTCTCCAAAATATATCAGAAGAATGAAAGACCTTGGAACTACGTGCAAACGAGATATAATATGGAAAATATCTCTAAAGAATTACGAGCGATAGATTTCCCTCGCGCATTGCTGTGACGTTGAAATTTAGTATTCTCTGTCACCAATGGTCGATGCAGAGGTATGGATACCCCCCTCCCCTCCCCTCCCCCCAGACTTACTTACCTAAGTAAAAGTACTCGTGACCGGCCATTTACATGTGACGATCAGATCAGCCCCTCACCTCCCTCCCTCTTCCTGGCCCTCTCCCTGTCTCCGCCCTGTCCTTCGTCGCCATCACGTCTCTTTCGGGAATAGCAAGCTCGGATCCCTGTGCAGTCCATGTGGTAGTCATGTGGTAGTCCGGCAGGTACGGTGCAGGGCCGGGCTCTCAGCGTTGATTTCTCCGAGGCTGGTGTGGCAGACCATATGCGCTAGAGCGTATTCGGCCTAGTTTATCCAGCTCGCATGGATCTTTTCCCCAAACTTCATCTCTACCTTCTTTTAATCCTCATCTTCATCGCTGATAGCATCATCACGCTTAGACGGCGATCTTCAATTAGCGTCACAACCCTTCTTAAAGCTTGCGCTATAATCCACTTGCTCACTGCTGTGTGTCGTATATCCATAGAGAAACCAATTCAAGCCATTGCCTACCGTCGAAACAGTCTAGAACAGTCTAGTTGTACAAGAGCGCTGTCGTTGCGCCACGTCCGGCAATTCATAGCTCGATCCTCGCAGTAACCTGATTCCATCACACCATGTCCTCACTTGGACTGAGCCAGGAGGAATTGAAGGCGGTCGAACAGACGCGCCAGCGTCTCTCACAGCTCTCTAGCAGTCTCAACTCCCTCAAGAATGATGTATTCATCAGTAATCCACTGCCCAACTTGTGTGCGACCCTGTTCCACTGTCATCTTCGGTAGCATGGCTAATGAAGAGCTCTCCAGAGACTCCCTCCAGGCCTCCGCAGACATCCTGAATCACAATGTGCACGCGATACTCGAGATCCTAGCCCAGAACAATGCCCTCTTCAGCCGTGTCGCCATTCATCCGTCTACAAACTTTCCAGGCCGAACGCAAGAGAACATTCTCCTACAGCTGCTTCGTAAGAAGCCAGAGCCTGACGTCGAAGCCACTATTGATAAAGGAAGGCAGACTCTCGTCAACATGCCTTTGCCTGGGAACGCGGGGTTGGGTGGTGCGGTCAATTCAAACAAAGAGAAAGAAACTGCACTCAGCGAGATTTGGGGTACCACACGCAATTCATGCCAAGAGCGCATCGCCGAATACGTTGTGAACGAGGAAGGCGACTATTTCACTGCCGAGGAACATGAGATTGGCATCGAGAACGTTCGAACGGGCCTCCAGCGCAGCTTCGAGGACGAGTACGAGGATGAGGACGAGGAAATGGAAGATGACGAAACGAACGCCGCTCCGAAGGGAGGCAGTGCTGAGCCTGACCTTATGATCATCGATCGCCCACCTCCACCGCCGGCTCCTGCTGTTACCACGCAAGAAGTCGAAGGGGCGACGCTCGAGACCGTTTTGCGGCTTGCTACTCGTGGTCGGTTCGCCGGTTAGAAGCGTTCCTTTCCCGTTTACATAGTGCTTAGGTGTCCTAGAGCGTACAAGTCTCATCCTATCTTTGATCAAAATGGGATGGAAAACAAGATTTTTATAATAATACCTTTTGATGCAACGGGGATAGCTTCGGCCAGTCAATTCATATTGGCTAACCGATATGTTGTGCAACTAAATTAAAGTTGCACAATCTCTCAAATTGATGGGTCGAGTGTACAATTGCAAATAGTGAAATTATGCAGATCTAGTTCGGTAATGAAGTCACTTTGATGATGAATATAGTGCCGCGACGCGTTGCGTTGTTTAGTCACGAAGTACCTATGTCTGTTTAGTTGTTGGAAGGTCTGGCGCGCCCTTGTACTTATCTTTCCGTAACCATCGATCCCATAGGGTTATAGCGCTATTCACTGTCTCCAGGATATTCATCAGGTTCATCACGGTCTTTACTACGAAGTAGCGCCCATTTTCGCGACTGTCTTACTCTCGATTCCTAACTGCATTGATCTATGGCGTTTTCGGCGTCTCCCCGGGCCGTACTCTACATTTAACTTTAGCTCTGTAGTAGTGCATCTAAAGGGTAAGCGGTGCGTTTGCTGTGGGTGCTTGATTTGTCTGGACTAAGGCAAGATGCAGAAATGGCGAAAGCACGTGCCTTTGTTTAATGGGCTATATAGCATTGGAAACCGCGAGAGAAGAAAAGTAGGTGAACAGTATCTATTTGTTTCAAAGGAATTCGGATCAATAATAAATTGTGCTAGGCCCTACTGCACTGCTCTTGCGAGTTATCACCAGATGCTTCTCTTCTATGGATATAGAATATGGGCCATCGGGCTTGAGGAACTGGCGACTTTGAAATGGGTATCGCAGCTTAAGGCATCTATCTCTCCTTATACTAGCGGTGGATGGGTGAAATCTAATTGCAAATAAGGGTTGCGTTGACTTGAAGTTTCAAGTAAGCATTGTTATCCGTGTTAACCTATTAAGATTCGAGAGGGAGAGTTTCAGCAGTACAAATATACAATTATATTAATTATTTAGCCAGGTTGTTTAGTTGTGTCGAAATAATGAGCACGTTTTCTCTGGCATTAGGCATTAGCCACTACTGCTGGTTTTTTGAGTATACCTCGGCCGCTCAAGTTAACTGTTTGTCTGGCTCACCAAGCTAGCCCATCCGACGACGAAGCTACGCGTTGTCTCTTATACGCATGATAGCGATGGGCTATTACTGCGGTACTAGAAGGGTTACAAGAAGAGGGTCACCCAGACCTGTCACAGTCTGTATTTAACGGCCGACTGCAGCACGGAATCAACTTCTGTTGCGGTTATGATCTTACTGATTGGGAGGGATTCCTGGGCCATTTCCAGGTACTTCGAGACGCTGTCAATGTAGACAGTGGCCTCAGCTGGAAAGACTGGAAACTTGTTGCCTCACGGCGATATAATGATGTTGATGACATGTACCTGTTATTAGATAGACGTGAAGTTTAGTAACTGAGAATGGATAGTCGTTGACTGAGCGTCGGGGGTCGTCTAGATCCGAGAGTATATGAATAGAGAGACTTTGGGTTATAGGATAGAATTACCTTAAATCCTAGTTTACGAAAGCCGATAAGAGAACTCATTAACTCAGGTGAACACCCTGGCTAAATATTTTTCGCCGTATATAACTTTGTCAGCAGTAACTTATTTCTAAGAACTAACGGTTTAACCATCGCGATATTAAAATACAACGCTCCACCAATAGGCACCTCAATGAACCCTACTCGAGTGGACTCAGGGGCTTACAATAATAGGCGTATGCATGCCCTTAAACCATCTTGATAAATAAACATAAACCCAAAGTATACAGGAGCCACGTTTCGGAAAAGAGGGTGGGCCAGTATCGCGTCAGCTGGGCTAAATAGCATCCCCCTTATTGGAGAGTCGCGGCATTGGCAGGGCGAGTTGATGCAAGTTTTATTGACTCTTGACTGGCTTTGGCCTTGAGTTGCCCCACACGCAGATACTCAGCTTCAGCTCCGATTTCTTACTTGCAGCGAAGATTAACGTTGAAATACTAACTGCTTTTTTACATAGTAACATTACAGCCAAGAAAGCTGAAGCTCTGACCCACACGTCCGAGTTAGTGTAGAGTCTAGATTTTTATATCGAGAGCTGACTGCTATTGAAACTAAGCAAGCTGAAATTCGTAGGTAGCTTAAATATAGAAAAATGAGAAATCTTACAAATACAAATACAGCTGTAGCTGCTTGGTTGGCTCGAATTCGAGCTCTTACTTTAGTCGTCTACTTCTTAAGCTACACTTTGTCCTAACATGCATGTACCTTATGTCGAACAACCTCACCGGCCGCCTCCCGGCTTCCGGGTGAGAAATGCTGAGCTGAGCGATGTAGAAAGCATTACCAATATCTGGTATGCCTCGTTTTACCCAACTCACAAATTCTTCGACTACGCAACACCCAATGACGCGGCGACCCGCCAATGGTTCAATGAGCTCTGGAAAATGGGGATTGAGGCCGGACCAGGCGTAATGAGGACATTCGTCGTAGAAGCCTTGTCACAGGGGAACAAGATCGTGGCGTTTTCGAGATGGCATGTCCCGCAGGCAGACGGAAACCAAGATATCCCCATGCCGCCGATCCCAGAACATTGGGACGCGGAAATTACAGATGCATTGTGGGGCGGTATGGCTAGGAGCCGGGAGCGCGTAATGGAGAAAAGGCCTCATTGGAGTCAGTCATGGCATCTCTTTCCACATCCCAAGCAGAAAGAATCCTGATTCTCGCCATATTGCTTTCCGCAGTAGTCCTTGCTGACGTAGTGGTTTAGTGGGGGAATTCATAGCGGTTGACCAGGCCTACCAAAATACGCGCTTGGCATTCACCTTGTTCGATTGGGGGTGTCGACAAGCTGACGAGGGGCGCCTGGAGATGTATGGTGATGCTAGTATGAAGGGGTTACCGGTCTGGAGGCACTATGGGTGCGAGGAGCGGGGAATTATCCGTATTCCAGCTCGTCTGGGTTGTTTCGAGACCTATGAAGTGGTCGCCCTCGTGAGAGCACCGAAGACTAAAGGAGTTCGAGATAAGGCGAAGCTATAAGGACTGGAGGTGTTGTAGCCAGCGTAAGTAACTTTTGGTGGCCCTCAATTGATGGCTTTCATGCGAATATGGATGGAGAATAATAATTTTCTCTCTGGCCAAAAGTGGTATTGTCCAGTCATCGATATCCAAGGTCGACGAGCTACAGTTGCAGTAACTTAAAACCGTCACATTAGTTGACATTTGAGCAATGCATAGTTATCATTCAGAGACTTAAAACGACATGACTGCATCTCTTTTACTTGGGTTTCATTCTATAATCCTCATTTTCGTTGACACGTATTACGTGTCACGCTAATACTTCATGACACCTGTCCTAATTGCATTTTTGCTCCTACACCGTTAAAAACCTGGTGGTGTTGATACTATTATTTGCCTGTAAGAGTATTCAGAACCACATGTTTCCACTAGGTTAGTCAATCTCAGAAGTAGAATTATAGAATTGATAGGACTCCGCGAGCCTCCACGCGTCCGGGCTTTATACATTGAGGACTCCAACCAGACCATACACAGTAAATTGCTATGGCTGTCAAGTTCTTGATCTTGATGGTTAATCCAGATTTTGCGTACAATTGAACCGGTCTCTCTAACAGCTAGAGCCCGTAAGCACGCCTCGGGCAAGTAGAGGACGAATATCGTAACTTCATTGTCGAAAACGAACTGCATGCCTTGCTAAGGTCCTTTCCCAAAGCTTAAGACTGAGGTCTGTAGGCGTTCACAGTAAAACGAGTCTTGAAACTATTACCGCGAATTTCCAATTATATGGTTGCCTAGTAAGCTGAGCTTTTTTTCTGAGGACTAAACATCTTGAGAAAATGGGTCAATGCCACTGAGGTTTCTGCCCAGTAGAGTAAACGGGGCAGAATGCTCTAATCTTGAATGCTAGACTAGAGAGCAAAAGCCAATAAACCAGGGGCTAACCGCACCCTACCCATTGCCTCTTCTCGGATGTCTCTTTCAGGCCAACCAACTAACTACCTAGGAATCAATATAATTGTTCAAACTGTTTACAATAGCTATCAGTGCCAGTTGTCTGCCCAGAACGACGACACCAACACTGCGTTATGGCAATGCAGCTTGGAGCAATTAATGGCTCGAAGGCGCATAAAAAGAAGCGTGAGGTTATAAGAGACCTGAAGTTAGTACATGCTGCGAGCACTACTTGTGTTGTCCCCTGTGTCTCAATGAGGAATTCGCGCTATTAAGACAGTAAGTCAACCTAAGACAGGGACATGCCCATAGAACAATTGCAGTACCAATTACCTTGCCAGTCAGTAGCCGAACGAGCAGGAAAGTAGCTAGAGGTTGAAAGGCTAGTTGCCCGAAGTATAGGTTTGAGCTCAACCATGAGCACTGTTCTATTTGAAACGTGTGAGCGTAGTCAATGTCGTTGGGGCCATGGAATAACCGTATCTGAAAAGTGTAATCTAAATAACTTATGCGAAGTTAGGTTTGCATCCTCGATGATTCCGAAGATAGACACATACGGCAAAGATGACTTATCAAGCTGCTGGAAGAAGTATACCCCGAGGAGAAGAGGCAAGATGCGTCTATCAGCACGCTTCAAAACGGCGCGCTCATCTTTCATAGTCGAAGTCGACCTCACTGTGTTCAGCAATGAACCTGGCTGCTTTATCCTCGAGGACCTTCTCCGGCAGCGTGATGGGCAATTCTGTGTGCTGGTGAGATGGCGTTTGACCTCTTTGATTCAGGAGAGAGACCAGCATTTGGTACCTTACTCGTCACGGTGAATGACGCTCACGTACGACACTTATACTGATCCACATGATTACAAGGCGCTCGAATAGATGCGGAGATTCTTGGACTTCGGGTATCCAAATTTCTGGGATGACATGACCCGATAAACTTTCACACATTACGTGTGGCCAATCCTAGCATCCTGTCAAGACCATAACAGCCTAGATCTGACTACTAGTCTCAGACTTTATTCCATATGGTTCAATTCTACATGTGCTTAGGAATAGGACGAATGCCTCCAGCAACATTCTCAGCTACTCGTGCTTCAAGGTGAGAAAGTATGATGCTAATTGCGTCAAGAGACATTGTGAGCTCTGCCCTTGCCTCCTGGTTGGGGAGTTGATATCTTCACTAGAGCCGTCCCTTACTTTTCCGTCGTCGTATCAAGGACATTCACGAGGACGCTAGAAGTGCCGAAGACTAATACCATATGCGTTCATGCAAGAGTTTGGGCGAACCCTTTCACTTACGAATAGATCCATTATAATATTAGGCAACTAGCAGGTGAATCCGTACCATATAGCCGATGATAGAAACTTTGCGGTAGTGTAGTGTCATGACCAGATTCCTTACTTCGGTATGCCGAGTACGTTCTTAACACTTAATTTAGACCTTATTGGCTACGGTTATATGTAGATCTTCGGTATATGCGCCATACTTCCGACATCCCCGCAATCTTGGGCTCTGTCTGGGGTATGCATTGAATCTGGGGTAAAGACAAGGGAAGATTTTCCACCAACGATATAGCAGGACATAACATCGGCCTATCGTGAATCCGAATAATGCACCTGTCAACGCGGGAAAGGCTATGTAAGCTTTGATAAGTCAAGATAGGCATTGGAGAAAACAGGGGCCAACAAGATCCCCAAGCCCCTCAATCTCCAAATTCATGGACAAAAAGGAATATTTATGTACATTTACAATTTTTTGCTCCAAGAACATCGTATACGTCGTTCTAAAGACGAGATTGTAAATTGGCTTGATGAGATCAGGGGATTGAGAAGGGTGAGTATCCTAAAACTTTTATAAGATTGGATACTATGGCCGAGATAGCTGTCATACACACGAAGAAAAGATACACTATAGTTGGTACTGGGGGGCGAGTTATCTTCTTTTAAACGGCCATCGCCTAAGACTACGTGGAGACATCCTGTATAGTCGGTCCCTGAGACAGTAACCAGACTCGTATGAACTATGCCAACTCGAAGCTCAAAGGCCTAGGCCATAATGCCGTTCCAATTTATCATGCGTCCGAATTCGAAAACATGATCAAAGAAACTAAGCCAGACGAAGTCATCATAACAAACGATCGACCGGACTCATAACATCTATATCGTGACGACCTTGGAATTGGGATGTAATGTCATTACAGAGAAGCCGATGACCATCGATGCGCCGCGCTGCCGCGAGCTCTTCGAGGCCGTGGAAAAGACAGGCAACAACGCGCGCGTCACTTTCAACTACAGATATGCCCCACACAACACAAAAGTCATTGAGTTGATTCGATCGGGTGCCATCGGCACAGTGACGAGTGTTCATTTTGAATGGATGCTCAACACGTCCCATGGGGCAGATTGTTTTCGCCGCTGGCATCAGGACAAGCGCAACACACTGGAGCGAAGTGGCTAAGACAGATCCTTTCGCACTCCATTTGGATGAGCACCCAGTTGAAGGCTATGTATCTCGACGCGGAGCAGAGCGTGCTTGATGAACTTACTAGTGCGGTACAGGACAAGTTGTGAATGTGGATGATATTTTGAAGGTCCCGTGATGAAATGGATCTGCATGTACCTACAGTAAGTAGGTACTCACGTACCTTACTGCGCCTTACGTAGTGCACCGTTTTGCTTCAACATGAAAGCTCACATCAATGCCCAGAGACGTTGAATTTCAAACGGTGAATGTTCGGTATTTGTAAGCTGAAGTCACCAGCTAACCTAGACGACATGTCATGTAAACTCGTCGGGGCTAACTACGGAGTAGGCATACCAAGTGTCGGGTACCCGATCTCGTACCTACCGAGATGACGTTATGCCATGAGCGCTTTAGTGGGGCAATGTTGTCGCTCGGGTCAAGCTTGCTGAAGCTTCTACGCCTCAGTCTGATCCAACAACTCACAACCAACCTAAATACCCAACCCTCCTCGCCTCGAATCTCCCCAATTGACCTTTACAGTCGCTCCCTACACGCAGAATGTTCGCCAGATCAGCATTCCGGGCCGCCCAGCCCCTCAAGCGCGTAAGTTACTCACCTCCGAGCCTTCGGGCTTCGCAATCCTGAACTCCACGAGTCATATTACCGGATTTCCCGGCCACCGTCTCTACACGATAATACATGATATATGGTCAATTGGGCGCCCTTATGGCTAACAAATTGGGCGGCATACACAGACTATCCTCTCTACACGCTCGTACGCGACCGAGCCCGCCAAGGGCGGTTCTAATGCCGTTGCGTATGCCGCTGCGGGCGCGCTCGGCGTTGGCGGTGTCGGCTATTACTTCCTGAACACGCCAGCAGGTGCCAAGGTCGAGAACAAGGTGAAAGAAGAAGCAAAGAAGGTCACCGGCCCGCCGAAGACGGCTTTCACTGGTGGCGACCAGGGCTTCGTCTCGTTGCTCCTCAAGGACGTCGAGATCATCAACAGCAACACCAAGAGGTTCATCTTCCACTTGCCCGAGGATGACATGGTTTCGGGTCTGCACGTCGCCAGCGCGATCCTGACCAAGTACGTTCCCGAGGGTCAGAAGGCTGTCCTGCGGCCATACACCCCCACTAGCGACGAATGTATGTTACTATTCCCTTCACATTCGAGCAGATTCCCACAGCACTATGAATGATCGCAAAGACTACATACAGCCTACTAATTGCCACGCGCGAAATAGCTGCCAAGGGATACATTGAGCTCATTGTGAAGAAGTACCCCGACGGCCCCATGTCAACCCACCTACACGACATGGTTCCTGGTCAACGTCTTGACTTCAAGGGCCCTCTGCCCAAGTACCCATGGGGTCCCAACAAGCACGAACACATTGCTCTGATCGCCGGTGGTACTGGCATCACCCCGATGTACCAACTAATCCGGGCTATCTTCAACAACCCTGAAGACAAGACCAAGGTGACACTTGTTTTCGGTAACGTGACAGAGGAGGATATTCTGCTGAAGAAAGAGCTCGCTCACATCGAGAACACATACCCACAGCGCTTCCGCGCCTTCTACGTCCTTGACAACCCACCTAAGGAATGGGCCGGCAACAAGGGCTACATCACCAAGGATCTTCTGAAGACGGTTCTTCCTGAGCCCAAGGAGGGCAACATCAAGATCTTCGTTTGTGGACCACCGGGCCTATACAAGGCTATCTCCGGAACCAAAGTCAGTCCCAAAGACCAAGGCGAACTGTCCGGTGTCCTGAAGGAATTAGGTTATACGGAGGACCAGGTTTACAAGTTCTAAACAAGATAAAAAGCCTCATCGAATTGGGCATATGCGATACTCACGTTGTAGATTAGAAGGTATTTAGACACCCGTGTAAAGAAAAGCGCGCGACTTTGAAGCCGAGAAAGCTTTCGAAATTACCCAATGCATTCAGCTCGACCGTGCTTAGAAACATATGCCTTGTGGTCGGTTGTTAGTTATGTCATGGAATAGAATATTATTATCGTGTCATGCAGTCTTGTGTTGTGCTGCGACCATCGCATATGGAATGCATGTGATCTCGGTCCCGTTCCCGAACTCACCTCAACGCAGGTCGTGGTTCAAGTACAGCAGTGAATAAGTTGAGTCAACACTCCATTAGCATTTTAGTTCAGGAAAGAGAGTGCGAGCTCATCAAGGCGTGTAATGACATGTGAAGAAGTCCAATTCAGATCACATTTCACCGTGACTCATACGCTCCAGTGTTGGGCTCGTCATCGCAAAAGAGCCGCTTCTCGACTTGACTAGGCAGGCAGGGAGGTGGGCAGGCCAACAGGGGATATACCGATTGGATCTAGATGTCGTAGATTCAAGGCAGAAAGAGATCGTCGGTGTTCTCGGCCCCAAACCCGGCCAGCGATCTGGATATTGATCGAGCAATCGCGGCAGGATTCATACGTAGCAGCTTGTCCTACCTATTCAGAGGCATAAGGCCCATGCATGAAGGAAGCAGGTGTCGTTTAGGTTAGGTTGTCGTTGGGCGCAGCTACTGTTATTCATGACGGGGTGATTCTAAAAAAGAATAGCGAGAACTCCAAATCCTCATGCACTGGTAATGTCGCAATGGATTGTACCATTTTCGCATCAGATGAGCAAGAAGGTGTTTTTCCAATTTCCAAGATGAGACATGGAGGGCGAATAAGCTTGAAGGGAGACGGTGCAATCTACCTACGCGGTAAGCGAGCTTGAGCTGTGAAGGCAGTCAGTCGTAAGCAAGGAATGAAGCGATTCCAGAGCACGCAATAGCTCGTTACGCTAAAGTACCGTTGCGATGGTGATATGAATAGACAAAGAGGCTCACTCAGCGCTCCAGCGTGAATGAATCATCAATGCAGGTTTGACAAGATGGGGCTCTCTCTCTCTCTCTCGGTCTCTCGGAACCCGAAGTCTTGTATGCGAGTCTGATTATGGTTTTTGCTCAAGCCTGGGACGGGTGGAAACAGAGGGATCGAACCATTCTGACCTTTACCATATATTTCACTGTCGCCATGTGCGGAAACGGTGGTTCAACCGTGGACGGAAATGGAACTGTTTCCGAGAATCCATTGGTCTGAAATGCAAAAGCGCTGCGAGCCACGATGTTCGAATCGTGGCGATCATAGGCCAGAACCAGGGGGGGGTTGAACTCTGGCAGGTACTTGAGAAAAGCTAGGCGAGAATTCAAAACGTAATGAAAACTCAGATTGTCGATCAATTCATATCGTTCTTGGGGTCCATTTAATAAGGGACGGAAACCCGGCTCTGCCCGGCTAACGATGTATTCCCGCTCGAATGAGGCGATTGGAGTGACCGGAATGATAGTTATTAATAAGCTCCTGTATGGTTCGAGCTGCCGGGGCATCTCATGCTGTGGAACTCGATGATTGGTTGGATGGTGTAGAGTAGATCATTGATAGGTTGAAGCCTCATAGCTAAGTCGAATATGCTCTTTCATGTACGCGAACATGGCCGCGTATTGGCATATTTTCGCATAAGAAGGTACCTAGGTAGGCGAGTAAGTAGAGCTGCGTCAGTTCAGCCCAATACTCTCTACGTCAAGTTCGTTCCGACAACGGCAATTCTCTTCGGCCGACCTATGTATGTTTGGCTGTGGTGGTGTTTATGCTTATAGCGACGAAAGCATACATAGTAGTGGCAATGGTTCAACAATTACCCTAAGGCTAGACACTGTAACGAGCTCCTCAAATGGAAGAAACGCTCATCAACGCCTCCAAAGTCGACACCACCCTCCCATGGGTTAATACTATCGGCTAAAGCCACACGCATCCGCAAGCGATGGCTTTGCCTACCAAAATGCCTATCTACTTAGGTACACTATATGCCCGCCCCAGAGTAGTACCACGAATGTCCTCACTCGCGTCATCAATATTGATTATTGCGGGCTAGATACCAGTAGGCAGTCGCGGGAATGTCGGTTGTCGAGCGAGCTGCAATGCGATTGGTGGGAGAGCATATGCTGACTCCGATAATTCTCTGTCGTGCTGCCACGACGCAATGTCTGGAGCGCTTGGCGTATTGTCGGACGATTTCAGCTAGGAATCCTTCTAGAAGCAATAGATCTGGAATATGCCTGACTCTTCCTTCCGGAGGGGTTCGCTAGCGCGTTGTAAAATCTGGGGGACGGAAAGGGAACCGGCTAGGTATCTGAATTGAATCAGCTATCCCCTACTAGTATCTAGTATGATGATCTTCACATCCCAGCGTTAGGTATATGATACGAGCGCTAACCCCGGGGTTACCGGGATATCATCAGCAGGTGCCGAGAAAAGGCGGCTGATTCCCAATTCAGCTCACCACCGCCGACGCTTGCATGCTGCGTCGCGCGTCTACACTGGGTGGAAGTGTGCGGTGTCAAGCCGAGGTCATCCCACAGAGACCCAGACCAGACAGTCTACTGTAAGAAGTGCAGTAGAAAGCTTCAGGGTCGCGTAGAACGGGAACCGAAGTCTTGTTGGTCTCCGCCAAGGTCCAGCTGAGCTGGGCTCTGTTCCCATTCGTGTGTCGTTCTCTGCCTGTTGCTTACTTGCCTACCTACCGTGCAGTAGTAGGCATATAGCAGCAGTGGTGAGCATGCCAAGGCCTCAACGAAAAGGCTCTAACCTCGCCGTGTTGTCCAAATTGAGAGGGCACCATTGATGTTAGTTGATACTAGCGCCGCAGGCGAATGCTAAGCGCTTACTTACTTCGATGTTGTTTTAGGTCTGAAGCATGATCTAGGCAAATCCGAGACAACGGCACAAGAACGCCAAGTCTCCTACACGTGTACCGGTGTCTTGGTCGGATAGATGCTTGCTCCGAAAGGCGCATTGGATCAAACACCAATGGCTGCATCTAAGTAAGTCGGTACAGATACGAGCTTTGTCGGAGATGATCGATATGACGGCATTGTGATAAGGTGACACTGTCAATTCAGCTGCTGCGTAAGGCAACCCTTTGTTCTTGGCTATCATCAACTGCGCGACAGTAGACGAGAGGAAATGAGCGTGCAGCGGAGATCCGATTTGAAGGACTGTGGACGAAGGCTTTGATACGAGGCACTGGGCGCTAGAAAATCCATTATGGCGGTATGAGTGATACTTTTATAGGTTAGATAGGCGCGCACCCCGTCACGGAGTACGAGGCGGCCTCTCTTGGCCAGCCCAGGCCCATCCTCGATACTCTTGCGTAGCTGCCGCACCATCAAGACGTGATACGAGGGAATTTTCTTCACCGCAATATTTCACGCTAGATCGACTGGCCAGAGAAGGAGGGGCTCTTGTGGGATAGCGAATGCCTCATTGGTTCCTCGGCCAGGCTGATGGTAAAGGGAGATATTCTCAACCAATCCCTTAAGGTCACTCCTATTGATATCATACTGTAACTCATGACTTGGTAAACTTTCATATTTGAATTTGATCAATACTCTTTCAACCATTGAAGGTGTATATCGACGGTGTGATATGATCGTTCGAACTGGATTGTCTCGTGCTAATGATGACATGAACTACCATGGGAAAACAATGAGAGGCTCAAGCAGCGAAAGACAACGTGGCATACTATTTAGTATGCGGCAATTTTCTTCAGCTTGTCACCCAAGTCCTTGGGTCGTATAACCCTGGAACTGTTCCCAGTTGAGGGCCACGCAGCTATCCCACAGCAAAAGATTGTTTGGCGCAACCGGCTATATTTGGAATGTTATTCCTACGGACGGGCCCTAGCGCGAACAGCCATTGATGACAGAAACCTCTCAGTGTACGGTGTAGCTGCAACTCGCGATAAATACGCGGGATCTCTGAGAATCCAGCAAGTTCGCAGAACAAACTTGCCCACCATGGCGTATAGCGCCAATGCTCACAGGATCCTTTCTTCATTGGACAACCAGGTTTGTAGATACGCGCATTACGGAGCCTGATACTGTCAGGGGTCTCAATGTTAGTTTATTACTTTCCAATTTTGATCTTGTATTCTATAGTTATATGTTGACTGTACCTCAACCATGATTTTTGTTATCCTCTCGCTATCGCGTAATTTTTCAGTGCCTTTATGGTGACTATTCTCTGGCTATAGTGTCTGCAGCGTTTACCAAGAACACTCCTGCTGAATCCGTGGTTCCTGTATCGAGCTAACATTGAAGACCTCGGGATAAGTGTACCCGTAAATGGCAAAGATTACTTGAAATAGCAGCTACTGGTTCTATGATTGGACATCTATGGGCCTCAACTTATAAATAGGGTACCTACTCTGACATCTACCGTTGGATGGCCACCAATAGTGGAGCGTTGGATTGGTGGCAGTGCTTGGTTTGTCGGATTTTATCAGCCTCTGGTACTGGTGCAATTAATCAGGGGCTGGAAATGCATGTAACTGCAGAAGATCGTTGGTTCAGGCTGATTAGATGCTGATCCAAGGCGGCAGGTAATGTATGCACCCCCGTCGCAGATCAAGACAGACATACAGCGCCTAGGTAATCATAACACAAACCAAGGAGTATGTTGCGTGCCTCTACTCGCCTGTCTACTCGCCTACGATGTCCATACCGAAATAGTCGATGGTGGATGGATATGGGAAAAAAAGACAGCGTAGGATTCAATGTTAAAAGAGGGATATTCCGCCATGAGCTATGCCTTGATGGAACCTCGGCCACTGCACTGCATACATCCGCTGACGAAGTAGGTTGCTAGCTTCATGTGTGTGACAAGGGCTCTTATAGAGGGCTTGGAACTTAGTCATATTCATTAATAATCTATTAGGGGTCTCTAGGGCTTTAATCTCTCTCTCTCTTTCTCTCCTGGAGTAGGAGATTTCTTAGCTATTTATGCTTATTTAGGCCTTATACAATCTATAACTCCCTTCCTTCTATTAGGTATTTATACTTTAACTGTTGGTTTTCCTACAGCTAATAGATTGCTTTCATCCAATCGCTTATAGCCTTACTTTTCTTTAGGGGTAATATCGATTATCTTCAGTTTTAAAGTTTTAGCTATATAATACTATTTCCTTCCTTTTTAATGTTTAACTTTAAATATAACTTAACTTTTTAAATGGACTACGAATTTAAGGTTATAATAATTCGAAGGTCCGTTAATTTATTTAAGTTTTATTAATGGAACTATTTAATAAAAGCCTTTATATTAATACCGTTTATATATTTATATAACTTTTAAATTTAATGCTTTTTAGCTAGCTAACCTTTCTATTTAATTAGGTACTTTATATTTCCTTAGGTTTTTAAGGAATCCTTAATTTCTTTTATTTAATAATCTTTAAACTTTATTGGAGGTATTTTTTATAAAACTTAATTAAAGTTAAATAATACTTAATTACTAATATAGTAAAGCTTAATAAGTAAAATATAAAATA